GGATGAAATAAGGGCCAACTATGCAAGTACCACAGAATTCCCCTTTGTAATATTTTACACATGTCAAAACAGTATACGTGAGAAATATCATAATCCCTTGCCATTTTACTAATGGGATAGATTGTTGTAACTCACATACCATACTGCAGTAGCAGAAAGATATACTCCTGTTTTGGTGACCATTCTGTTCTGCATTTGTAAATGCAATGCAGACATACAGATACTCTTAGACTTATAAAAAGCAAACCTTTGCAAAGCTATTACTTAGGTGTAGCCTACACTACAATTTAACTCTGTCCATACTAGAAAATATGAATTAGTTAGTAAAAAAAATAAAATGGCAATAAAATGTAAGATGGCATTGTTACAAAACCCACAATGAATCCAAGAAAGAGAAAATGCAGAAATGATTCATAATGCCATGATTTTTAATAAAACCCCAATTTATCCACAGTTTCTCATATTTTAACCCCATACTGAAACTCATTTTAGAATCTTAATCTAGAATTAAATAAACATTTTTTAAAAGCCCCAAAAGCAGGGTATAAGGCAATACAGTGACAAAGAGTGTTTTACATATGTCCAAGAAACGCAATCTGAATTATGAAAATATAGTGAAGATGATAGCAACTTCACACAATGGATTTACTTAAGGAATTCAGTATTCCTTGAGCATTCAGTATTCAGTAAGTGAATACTTCAAGTATGCACAAGCCTGCAGCTAAACTGACACACAGTGGCTTTGGAAGGAGCTAAAGTTAACTCTAGTTACACCATAATCTTAAACTCCAATCAGGAGGAGAAAATTCGTTATTTTAACTTTGGAGCTAGACTAATAAACAGGAAGTTGGCAAAGAAGCCTCACAGCTCAGCTCCATCATGTTAGGTAGTAAATATTACCTTCTCAACAGCATCCTTGTCAAAAATCAAAGTATCTTTTAAATATTATGAGTGAAGAATTTGTAATTGAAAGTGGCTTGCAATCTTTAAAAGTGCCTTTGTGTTTGTAGAAAGAATAATTAATAATTGTTTTAATTAAAACAAAAATAATTTTTTAGCCATTACAATACTTTTCATTGATGCCTTTTAAAATACAGCGAGGGTTAATTTGCTTTTAATTATTATGCATATGGCTTGTTTTTCAATGAAGAAACATAAAACTATCCTTTAAAATTTCTATTAACCTTCCACTTTTACATCCCTTTGATTTTCACTCAGAGTATTATTGCTGTCATGGCACCCAACCTCTAGCTATGCACATTCCTCAGAAGAGAAGGTATACGACTTCCCTATGAGCCAATAAAATCAGTGGGATGGTTATTTAGATAATACCGCCAGCACTTTCCACAGGACAGTGTGCAAGTCAATACTCTAAGACTACCCAGGAGCATGGAGTAAGATTCAAAAGTCTGTCTTGTAACATGGGAGTCCCACATACTGGTGTAGCACACTGTTGGAAGCCACTGAGTCAACTAATTAAAGCCAATTTTATAGCCAGACTATGTCTTACCCTTACAGTGCTCACATACTAAATAGCCTAAAGGGAGCAATGGTTCTCTAGCTTTTAAAAAAATCCTCTTTTGTTATATATCTTCAAATGTAACCCTTGTGTTTACACAGATAGGGTGCTACAAAGCTCTTCAGTAACGTTAATATTGATTGAGAACATTTTTTGAAAGTAAGAGATGGAAACTGTTCCAAAAGTACTAGTGCAGCAATACTGAAAAGAATGACTAGAAGAAAAGATCACCTAAATAAATGAATGATAGACACCCAGTGGATTTTACCTAATACTGTATGATAAATAGACCCTTGGATCTAACTTTGATTTTCCCTATTTCTTCATTCATCTATTACAATCCCTTCTGAAATATGCCATTTTGTAGGTCATTTCATTAGATATATTTTCACTATCTGATAAACAAGACATCATAACTAGCTGTTAGAATCGGACATAGGTTTTCTGATACATCATTCCCCAGATGAAAAATGTTTTGTGAAAAAGAAAGTGCTCATAGAAACATGCTGATTCACTTTAAAATAAAAAATAAATAATAAAAAACAACAAAGCAAACCACCAAACAAAAAAACTCCAAACAAGGCAAAAAAATTCTAATAAAATATTTGCAAACTAAACCTTTTAATAACTGATTCAAAGCTTATTTTAATCAAATGCCCTTTATATGTCTGAGAAATTCTCATTCAGTTTTACCTGAAACATTACTGAACTTTTTTAATTTTACAGTAAAATGCTAAAGAAATATAGTTTATTACTGTCTTTTTTTCCAATATCATGCAACGGTCAAATAAATTCTTAGAAAATCTAGAAACAGTATTGGGAGGTAAGGATTTTTTAGGATAAGACTAATGTTAATTACTAGAATTAGAAATTTATGGTATCGCTACTATTTCAAAGCAACAAGAAAGTCAAAGTATTAGCGTATCTGTTAATTCTTTGAGTAATAACTTATAAAGTGTTTAGCAAAAGCACAAGTCCGTATATACAGATCTCTGAATTTAAAGATTTGCACATCTGCACTTCAGAAATATATTACGATGTGTTGAATAACAAATACTAATGAGGACAAATTTTCAGATTTCATGATAGCTGTGGTCATTCAAAATGTCTTGCTCAATCTTCAAAACCACAGTAATTGTTTTTACAGTTACTTTAATTGAAAGTACAATAATCACATTAGCAGCAGAAAATAACAGCAAATGTGCTTGTTCTGAGGTTAAGAAAACAAGGCACAACATAATCCTCCCGAATGTGATCCAACACTCACTATAAATTGCTATGTCAAAGAATTGTTATCTGTGTGTTTAATACAGCACATATCAGCACTGAACCAAATGGCAATATGATAGTTTGGGGACTGTACCATCTCTGTAGAACATAAGGTAATGAGCAACTATAAGAGTAGTTACAAATAGCAGTGATAAAATATGCTCATAAGGTTTAACTTCATCATTATACATGTAAATTTCACCACATTTAGTAGCATGCACATTAGTAAAACAAAAGTCACACCTTGTATTTATCTGTGTTGTTACATTCTCCTGTGAGAAGACAGAATCTAGAAGGTCTGCAAATCACACATGCTGACTGTTCTTTCAAGAACTGGGCATGAAGATTCTTCAGCTTTGCATCCTATTCTGCCCTGATCACTTATAGACAGCTTCTATCCCTCAGAGCAATGCAAGAGTTGCCCCACAAAATTTCTTTCCATCTGGATCTGTGCTGAAGCTGTTTCTTATGCAGATTCTCCCACATCGGGACCATTCTTCAACTCCATTCCCCTTCACTTTTTAACTTAATAATGAAGAATGACATAAAAATGACTAGGTAATAACAACATGAGTATTCAAAGGTTGACAGCATGTGCCTCCATTCCAGCTATAGGTCTAGATGGAGAGTTGTTCTCACAGAGACTAGCAATGTGTTCCAGTAAGATCTCAAACAGGTTCTCAGGCATGTAGTGTAATATTTCTACTTACATTTAACCACCAAAAGCTTGGCAGAATCTCATAACTCAAATATTTATAAATATAATTTAAAAAATACTGTTAAGAGCTCTGAAATTCATGCAATACCCATAACTCTATATGTAAAAGAGATGGAAGCAGAGACAAGACAGGATGAAATGGGACACATTAAGAAAAATGAACCTTGATATCCTGAAGAAGGAGATAAGAAAGGTACCTCACTAAATTATCCCTACAGCTATTTTTGAAGTTAAGGTGAAGATAAGTGAGTCAACATACTGGCAAATATTTTTACCTCAGAAATAATTTAACATAACGAAGAAGCCAAATACAGTATTTTGAAAGGACTACTATCCATTTAAAAGGAATAAATTGTCAATATCTCTATTTTTAAAAAGCCCATGTTCTTATTGTTGCCATTTTGCTTTCTTTCATACCCTGATTAGTACAGATTTTATGAAAACAAAAAAAAAAAACCTAACACATTGAAAATAGGAAGTAAAAATGAATGCTAAAGAAAATGTAACTGAGTAGCTTCCTTTATCTAAACTACTCTGAGCTAAGAAAAGTATATGATAGGCACAGATGTAAAGAACACAAGATTAAAAGTTAATCTATTAATTATTTTTAACACAGCTACAATTGAAAAAAATTTGATCTGGGAATGTCTCCCCAGTGAAGAAATACTTTAATGCTATCATTTTCATGTGAAAACAAACACAATTATACATGAAGCATTAGGCAATTAATCCATTTTCTTAGGAGAAAAGTTCAAATATTAAGATAACACAGAAAAGGAATTAAGTATTCACATGTGATTTCTCAGAAGATTTTGTGGTTACTACCACAGTGTATTTTATAATTCTATTTCCGATAGCTCTGATTTCTCAGTTATATTTACACAGTCTCTGGCTCCCATCTGGCTGAATCAACCACAACAACTAAGATCCAGGTGAGGGTCTTGTTAAGAGGTAGCGCCAAACATTTCAGAAACAGCTTTATCCAAAAGACTAAAGTTTTACTGCTACTCTATCAAGCATCAGTTCATAGAGCAACTATCCAACTACTCTATCTTTTACTGCTGCTCTATCAAGAAGGTTGCATGCACCGAGCACTATTCTTGTACTTAAGTGATTAAAGAGGAATGGATATTTATTGATGTCAACCTTAAGTAAAAAATATATGAGATTTATTTGTTACTGAGCACTTGGCGAAATAGAAAAAAAAGATTTTCAAGTTAGAAGAAATTAAAAAATGAATGAAAAATGAAAAGTGTCAAAGCAAATGAACAATTTTAAAATTTTCCTAGAATGACTTCTTTATACACAGAAAGAAAGAAATCTATTACAGAAAAATATCATTTAATTGGAAATACTTGCACATGGACATGAAGACACTAATTATTTCAAACTTTTGATAAAACTGGTATCCTTTTAAGACCTAAAAAGAGCCAGAACTAACCAAATAATAGTTTCACTTCTAACATAGAGAACCCCAGCTCTGGTAATACTCACTTCTGAATCTTCCATTTTTTTCTTTCTAATCTGTAATAATTCTCCATATGTTTTTTCTTCCTGATTTAACTTTTTCTCATATTCTGCTAGCTTATCTTGATTAAACACCATCTGAACATTTTGTTCCTTAATGACCACAGTACTTGACATTTGCCTTTGAAAGAAAAAAAAAGAATTCAATGAAGTAATCAAGATCTTCTACTATATTATGCTTTAGTCTTAATTTACAGGTTTCATTTTTAATTTTATAATAGTGTCTTCTTGCAAATAATAATACTTTTTATAAAAAACATATATGATGGAGCTTATCATGAATGTTTAGATCACTTCAAGACATTGCCTATCAATCCGTATCTAATGTGTCTATTGAAATACATAATACTCACTTTTTTAAAAAATGGTTTGCATGTCTAAAATAACTTTCTAAAGAATGGACTGGTTCACTCACATATGTGAAGTATCTACATGAATATGATATTCTGAGACACAGAATTAGTCCATAACCAGTGATGTATTTGGTAACTACTATTTTGTTATTTATTGGGACTGGAAGTGGGAGCTTCATACCATTTGTGTAATATTTTGTTTTTGGAAGTTAAGAGGGGTTTTTCTGGATGATTTTTAGACTTTAGAGTTCTTTCTGTTAGGTGGAAGCTCTAACAGCAGGTTCTCAAAACAAATGCAAAGTTCTCATTAGTGTCTGTTTTAGGTCTAGAAGTTGGACAATTTGCAAGAAAATTCCTTTCTGAAAGAGATGGACTTCATAGCTGTAAAAACAATGAATTATTGGAACTAACTTTCAGTACCACTTTGTGTTGATATTATCCTTTTCTTTGACTATAACATGTCACTGATAGGAAACTACTGACTACTGGCTAAAGAGCTGTGGAAAATGAGAAAAGATTTTCAGTCGTGGAAACACGTCTTTCATATTTGAAATTCAGTAAGTTCCATTGTACATTGGGTCCTTCCAAATCATTCGATTTGAATTGAGAGTTAGGAAAAAAAAACAACATATCTAGTGCCACGTATCCAGATAAAAAAATTACATTGAAAAAAATATTTTTTCCCCCGTCAAGAATTTCATGGTGTAATCTCTCAAAGACCTTTCAACACCAACAGTACATAACTGAATGAGATCACAGAAAGGGATCTGTAGTATCATGATGCAAAGATGACTTTTTCACTGTTTAGTCATCCTTTAGAATGCAAAAATCCAACCTGCTTTCTCCTTGACATTGCACAGCGGGTTCACCTTTATCCTTGAAGAGTAAGCCTGCTGTGCAATCAGCATATACAGCCCTCCAAGGCTTGCATGGCCTAGAAGGCAGCCTGCATTATCAGTTGAATAGAGCCCTTTGAGATTATCTTTAGGACTCATCAGTCACAGTAAGCGTAGGTCCACAGTTCTTAAACCAGAAAAAAGAGTGCTTGGAATCCTCCATTAATTAAGGATGCAACTGACCATGAATGTTATCAGATTTCCAAAAGCAATTCTGATGCCCGAAATTCAATTTGGGAGGCAGACAATTTATCATTAATATCTTCTACAGATATGTTAAAACTACAAGCAGTGATCAGACAAAAATACTTTCAAATATTGATGAAAAGTGCATGACATTTCCTAAAAATAATATTTTAAAATAATAAAACTATCTTTAGCAATAGTAATAAAGTCAAATTACTAAATTACTTTGGTAAAAGTAATAAACTATCCTGTAAAATTCATATACTAGATAGGTCTTACCGCAAATCAGCAAAATATTGTTATACCTTTTCCATCTGTACTTGTTTCATATCACATAACTCACGTATTCCTTTAATTTCATGTTTTAAATTTTCCAGTGTGAGAATTTTCAGCAATCTGACTGGATACAGATGAAAATTTTTCCTAGGATTTAAAAAAAAACCCCAAACATAGCATGTTAATTAGGCAGGGCTAGATTTCCAAATTCTGACATTTAAGCACTTGATTATGAGCAACAATTCATGAATTTTTTATATCCAAAGAAAGAGAACTTGTTTTAGAGGGGGCAGGAGAAGCTTTTAGTGCAACTGGAAGAATTCCATTTCTGTAAGATCATGGTGTTGCACATCCAGCTATAGTTCTCTAACTTACTGCACAATTCTTCTACTATTTATCCACAAGCTTTTTTATGGCACTTTTATTTTTGCAGTTGCCTTTTTTTTTATTGATGTATGCAAATTTGTAGGTCATCACTTCATAAAATACATTTATCTTCTTATTTTTGCTTTTATACATAAAAGTCTTGCAAATAAGCACTGACTTGCACAGCAAAAACTTTATTAATGATAGTGAAAAGTAACAATTTTTGCATATGATCTAAGTCTAGGCCTATTCATTTCAGTGTATGCAGAGTCAGTGTCTTAACTGGAAGTTTTTTCTGCTAGACCACCAAAAATGGTACTTACAAAATATAATACTGGTTTAGGCAGATACCTAAAAAACTGAACTTTCAGGAAGAATCAGTATTTTTATTTGCAATTCTGCAGGTAGAATATGGCTTACCCGTTATGTCTAAAAACTGGCATTTTTCATTTAGTTCCCTACAGAAAGAGTTGTCCTTTTTTAGATGTCACGTTTTTCATACCACAGTTGTCCTGAACTCCAGACAGCAGAGGATTAAAACACAGAGAATGACTCCTGAACACCTGCCTACTTTCCTCAGCTACAAGTACACAACTCAAAAAACTGCTGAAAACCTTTATATTAAAATGGTTTTCACTAAACTTCCCATTCTACAGAATAAAGATTAAATTGCAGTGTCTTTTTCATACCTGTGACTGACAGTCATGGGACCCAAAAAATATAAAGATTCATGACACAAGCAAGCTCTACCTACAGGAACAACAGTATCTGGTAAACAAAGCTGCAGCTTCCCGACAATGAACAAGAGAAACATAAAACACTGTAGCAGTTCAATAGTAATAAAGGGGTGGGAGTCTTCTCTTTGGGTGGTATTTCTAAAGTGGTCTTGCTGCATTAGATTTTTTAACCCATACTAATGGGCTGTAAGCAGCTATGTAAATGGATTAAATTAAGATGGAGGAAAATACGTTTTGATTATGCATATATACACATATATACACACATAATTTAAGTGCACACATGTATAAATACCACAAGACCACACAGTTCAGTAGGCAAAGAATGCACCACAATAGATAAATAAAGAACAGTATTTTAAAAATTTCTTCTTTAGATTCTGCCCCATTTTTCTGAGGCAGCAACTTGAAGCATCATCTAATGGTCTTCTCTCTTGTGAAAGAAGCGCTTCTTAGAGGTGTGCCTAAAAGATAGCTATAACAAAAACGAGGTATCAAAGCTTCTGTAAGAGGTGTTAACACAGATATGAAGGTGTGCAAGGTACCCCAAGAACATGACTTTTTTAAGGCCTACAAACTTTGTAAAAGTGTAGTATGTATCTGTATAGAATTGATGAAATTTCAGGTTTCTTGCAGGAACACAGAATCATTAGAAAGAAAATTAATATAAGGTAATTAATGCAAATTCTGATGCAACTGAGTGGCCCATAGAGAGTCTCAAACCTCTAAGGAAAAATAGTATTAATTTTAGTTCTCACTACCAGGTGAAATTGGAGAAATGTGATAGCCTGTGATATACAGGCTGTCTGAATGGTCTGTCTTGGCCTTAAACTTAACAAATAATGAAATCTGAGATGATCAAGATACCAGGGGCAGACATAAACATACACAAAGAAGTCATAACAGTCATAACATGCAGAATCAGGTTCACATTTATGAGCTATGTTAGAACAAAACTGCCAAAGAAGAAGAATTTTGTCTCTTCCTTTAGGTCATTTTAACCAAGGCAGATAAAAGCTGAAAATGCTGGCTTCCAAGCATATGAAATACTAGCCACTGAGTCAGTGCAAGCTGGTACCTATTATAGAAGACATAGAATTTGCAATCAGGTTTTAGGAAAACAAATCCAACCAAAAGCAAACGAAAGATGGTGAGATACTCTACATTCTGTGATCCAAATATCAATAGACTGGGTATCTGCTCCTTATAGGTTGCTGTACTGGACAACAGTTCAGTATCTTGCCTAAGCTGATTGAGTCCCTTGGCACTTGGTCATTCAGCTGTTCAATACATGAGCACTATTATTGATTCTTCTTAGTTGCTGAACAGAACTACTGGTGTATTATGGGATAGAAACCATTTTATCTAAGTATCTAGCTTTTAGACATGTCAGCAGACTAAACTAAGTCGCTTCGACTTCAACAGTGAGATGCAGTAGCCTCCAGTGTATGATCCTAAAATAGGTAAGCTATGAAGAACTGGGTGAATTGCTTGATCATTTGGAAGTTGAAGACTCTACTCCTGCATCAAGAATACTATGGAATAATAGCCATTTTTTCCATGACATCATTTAAGCTACTCACTGGACAAGCTTTAAACAAGCCAATGTGTGGTGGTTTAAACCCAGCCAGACAGCTTGTTCACTCACTTCCTCCCCCTTTCTTGCCCTCCCCCTACTCCCGAAGGGATGGAGAGGAGAATCGAAAAGAATGCAACTCCCACAGGTTGAGATAAGAACAGTTTAGTAACTCAGGTATAACACAAATCACTACTGCTACCACCAATGATAATAATGATAAAGGAAATAACAAGGGAAGAGAATACATCACCTCACCACCAGCCAACTGATAACTCGCCCCCCCCCAGCCCAACCAGGCACCGACCAATACCTCCTCCAACCCTGCAGTCTACCAGCCCTTCCGGGTAACTCTCCGTTATATCCTGGGCATGATGTGCTGTGGTATGGAATACTTCCTTGGCTAGCCTGGGTCAGGCATCCCGTCTCTGCTTCCTCATGGCTTCCCCTCCTCCCTGACAGAGCATGAGCCTCACAAAGTCCTTGGTCAGGGTAAACATCACTCAGCAACAACCGAAAACATCGGTATCACCAGCACTGTTTCCAGGCTGGAAGTCAAAACACAGCACTGCACCAGATACCAAGAAGGATAAAATTGACTGCTATTGCTGAACCCAGGGCACAATGTCATGTGACAGCACTAAAATGTCTGAATATAAGTTTACATAACTTCTCCTTAAAAAAAATCATGATTAACAGAATCATGTAGTGTGACCTTACACAGCTAGAAAAGATGAGTAATTATTAAAAATAAGACAGCCCATTTTATAAAGCCCCCCTTTTACAAAATGTCAATTGTTATGATCAAGGAACTGCATTAAGCTCTAAGAACACAGCATTTAATGCATCCAGGTGTTGTTACCAGTTCAGAGCTCTAAGTATCTCATAAAATAGGCTTTGTATGCTGTGTTATTTCACTTAACCAGAACACTCCTCTAGTACTCCTCCAGAACACCAAATCAAATATTGCTCAAGTAACTAATGGATAGAGTTATTTAGTTACTAGGAAAGGTAGCATTTAAAATAATAATGAAAATTACAGGAAATAAATGCACTGAAAAACACTGTAGAATTACTGATTATGATGTACTCATCAGTCATTTTCACATGTTCTAAGATCTACTGGTAACCTGCAGTTTGGTAGAGAACAATCTTTAAGAGAAAGGGATATAAAAACTGTCTTTCCTGCCAAACCTGTCTGTATCAATGAGTTTCCCAAAGCTTAATTTAAGATTCTGTTATATGTGTAAATCTCAATAGAGATTACTGGGCTCATAAAAGCTACTCTGAACAATATGAAAACATTTCTTTCATTTTTTTAATCTATATGACTCATCTTCAATGCCATAATACCTAGCTTAAGTTTATACAATATGCAAGTGAAAGAATAATAAAAATTAACTGAATCTTAGAAAGAAAATATTTGTTTCTTCTAACGCTTATAACCATGTTTATATAAAGCACAGGGTTCAGTATTGAAATTCAGTAATTCCCTTTGGTGGATTATAGAGTTTAGTAACTGATACAGCATATATAAGCCATCATTTACAAAAAGATGCCATCTGCTGAGCAAACATGCAATCAGCAAGCACTTCCTATTATACTAGAACCTTTTTTGTCCTTTATTGATTTTCTCCATTGCATTTCTAAAGCCCCTTAAGCAATCTGAATCAGTGTAGAAAATGAAGAAAGCAAAGGACTCCTCAATGACCCCAATATCAATTCTGCTTTGTATTTTACACTGTCTCAAGGCTATGGACCTCATAGGTTAGTTTGAGCAAGAGACAGAAAATAGTACATACAATATATGTATGTACATAGTTCCAAGGCAACTGTGTAGAAATGACAGCCTAACCTTTGAGATTAAACATACTTAAAAAAAGCCATACAAGCATTAAATTATTCACCTGTGTATCACTTAATAGTTGCTGCATAATAGTTCTTTTTTCTTTCAGTTTGCTCCTGCTGCTTATCTAGCTCTTGTATTCTCTGATTCAAATAGGAGAGCTTATGGAGAGTTTACGAATAAATAGACATGCTAGTATTCAAAAGTTATTGTCCCACATTCTACAGAAACAAGAAAATATATTAGTTACTAAATATTAAACAGTTACCTTTTCCTTTCCATACCCATTTTTCTGTTATGTGGGTTTCTGTACTCTCTGCTTTGAATGAAAAAATGCACATGTAAAATATAAAATATCTCTGCTACTTCATACAATGTTTACCATAATACAGCAGAAAAAAAAAAAGTCTTACTCTGCTCCCCATGTTTCTTTACTTTCTTTCTGCCAAGGAAGGTACAAATAAAGTTCTGAAATCAAAATACATATTTGGAATAGCTTCCATGGAGTTTGTATAAAGGGAAAAATAAATGTTTATAACTCATTATCACTAACTCCTGAAAAATATAGCTAAGGACAGATAACAAGAAGAAGAAGAAGAAAGAAACAATTAGCACCTCAAGGTAAAGTTCTTGACTATGGCAGTAACTTTTTTTGCATCATTAGTGTGAGCACCAATTATTATATAATAATTATTAATACATGTAACAAGGTAAACTTTACTAAATATGCTTATATAAATGGTATAATAGTTACATTATCCGAAGTCTAAAATTCCAGTCACACTATATAACAAAGATTATTAAAATAGGCATTAATATTACCATTCCAAAGGTATAATTTAAACTTTTAATCAATGAGAAAGTTCTTCCTTGAAGTTAGAATATCTTTTGCATATCATTCACACAGGAATCTGTTCATGGAAACTCTGTTTCCAAGCTGTTAAAAGAGAAGTGAATACACAGCTATAGGCCATGATGTATAACTTACACCACACCTCCCTAGATTTCCAGGAAACTAATGATGTGATCTTTGTCACATTGTTTCTACTTAGTTTTAGTTGGGGAAGGGATAACAACATTAGTCACTGCCATTAATGTGTTGTTTTGAAAATACTATTAGCTGGTAGAGGAATCTTTTTTTTTTTTTTTAATTTTTCATTTTGACGTATTAAACCTGCATCAAAAATAAACTATCAGATAATCCATTATCTGAACTCAATTTATTCAACATCCTCCATCTCTCCTCCAAAAATGGGGAAGTACTGCTACATGCATACTACATCATGAGCCCTTCAAGTCCAGCATTCTCCAGAAAATACAGCCCTTCTCCAGCATTAAAAAACTGGAGAAGACATCATCTCCCATGACAAGCTACTTACTAGTTGTCAAATAGCAGAACAATGAACCTAAAGACTGATTCTGCAACAAAAACTTCTTTTCACTGAGGCAGCAGAAATTCTTTTATCTGGGTTTTGAGTGAAAATAAAAAATCCTATGTCTAAACTGAATAGGCTCAAAGTTGTTGATCTTACTTGATTGTAAGAATTGTTCCATAACAAGTATATGGCTTATTGAAAACTCCTTGACTTAATTCTGGACACAAGCCATCAACAGTTAGTTTTGTTTCCTATTGATTTGGAAACAAAAATGAAGGCATTTTGCTCTTCCTTTTCTGGCATTAAGGTCTAGCAAAAATGCCCTCCTCTTTTAAACACTTAACAATTACTTCTTTCACAATGATTACTGTATTTTCAGCCCTCATCCTTAAGATACTTATTTCCTTTGCCATAAAACAGAAAAGGAGGGAAGCTTCAAAACTTCCCCAGACTGTAAAGCTGCTTGTATCAGTGAACAATGCATGCCCACCTATTCATACACTGTGTGGCAGCTCACATTTGGAAGGACTTGTCTGCCAGGATTTGCACATATTTCATAGTGAAATAGAGAACAAAGGCTTTGAGCAGTACACAAGGCTTAATTTAAGTGTAATGATAGAAGGCCAGGCCCCAGTCTCAGTGTTGCTGGTTGGACAATTAGCAGTGTGAAAGCCAAACTCTGTTTAACTTGTAATAAAAGACAGAAAACAATTTAAATTTTCCCCAGGTTTCCAGTCATTTTCAGAGTCATTTCCTCCCCAAAAAAGAAAAGTAACAAGAACCTGCTCAAGAAAAAGACATACAAAAAAGGATAAAGTGAAGGTATGGAAATGCTCTTAATTAAAGAATAATAGGAAGAAGAAGAAAGAAGAAAGAAGAAGAAAGAAGAAGAAAGAAGAAGAAGAAAGAAGAAGAAAGAGAAAGAAGAAGAAGGAAGAAGAAGGAAGAAGAAGGAAGAAGAAGGAAGAAGAAAGAAGAAGAAAGAAGAAGAAAGAAGAAGAAAGAAGAAGGAAGAAGAAGAAAGAAGAAGGAAGAAGAAGGAAGAAGAAGGAAGAAGAAGAAGAAGAAGAAGAAGAAGAAGAAGGAAGAAGAAGGAAGAAGAAAGAAAAAGAAAGAAGAAGAAGAAGAAAGAAGAAGAAAGAAGAAGGAAGAAGAAGGAAGAAGAAAGAAGAAGAAAGAAGAAGAAGAAGAAGAAGAAGAAGAAGAAGAAGAAGAAGAAGAAGAAGAAGAAGAAGAAGAAGAAGAAGAAGAAGAAGAAGAAGAAGAAGGAAACACACACCCACACCCACCCATGAAAAATTACATCCCAAAGAGTTCTGCAAAGAAAGACGAAATGGTTCTCTTTGAGGGTTTTGCTTCAGTATAGCGGATAGACATTGCATCTTGCACTAAACTATGGTTGAGATTTCGAAGATTCCCATATCATTTGAGAACAATAAGGTCTGTTTCTACAGATGTTGACATGTTAGAGAGACATGCAACTGTCGGCATTGCTTAAGGAGATGATTGTTTACCTACCTAAGGTCTCATGTTTGTAGGACTACTAGTCAGCTGATCTACATACTGCCAGGTATATTCCAAAACCATTTATCATTGTAATACCTTGTTTTCAAACAGTAATTTAGTTAGGAAATATTGTCAACTTTTCCCTCTGTCTTCTATTGCCACTGTTGTAGCTCTCCACATAAGCGAAACATTCAAACACCTCAAAGATCAGCAGAGCTAAAAGAGGAAACTTTAATAATGAAAGAAATATTTCTCAGTCATACAAGTTTAGTTTGTATTCCTATTACTCTTTTGAGAAGATTATTTTTCAGAAAAAAAATCCCCAAAGTTTCAAACTCAGGGAAGGTTAACACCACTAGTATACCCTGTAAATGTGGGAATAGGGTACAAAGCCATCACTTTACAGCTGGAGGAAAATTGCTTTTTGGTCATACTTTTAAGATGATACCGGGGAGAACTAAAACGTGTCATACTGTAACAACATGAATGCTCTACTAGCAGCAAAAGAGAGGCTCAGAAGAGTGTATTTAATTAAGTCAGTTCAAGTAGGTTATGGGACTGTTTTTAACACAAGAAACTTCTATTTCTTTTTCTTATTATACAAAACAGACCTTTCATGACAGAAAGGAAAAACATTTTTTATCAATATCATCCATACATCCACAATGTAGGGAAGTGAAGAAGGTCCCCACCATGCCATGGCTGGGGGTTTATATACTAGTTGTTCTCTTAAGCTTATAAGTAAGCAAAGTATAAAAGAAACAGTCTTCCTTTTTGCAAGAAAACAGATCACAGGAGTCAAAAGAAACAGAAAGATTTTTCTAATACAGGAAGTAAGAAAGGTCAAAATAAGGCTGGAATTATGTTGTCTTTTGTTATCTGGTATCACAGCACAAGTGCGCAGCTGCAAAATCCAACTCTTCTGAGCTATGGATTCCTGTTTCCTCTTGTATTTTTTTCTAATAATGAAAAAAATTATGCTAGTGAGTGGTCCAGAATCTACTACCTTTACCTCATGCTTGTCTTCAGATATATCTTTTTTTCTTTTGTTTTTCTTCTACAGCAGCTACTTGACCATCAATCTCTTCTATCTTCTTCATATCTTCCTTTATTTTCTTGAGTTTCTCTTTTTGCTTTTCCTCTAGCTCATCATATACCGATTTAATCCTGTCCTGTTTATTAAAATACATGTAGAATTAGCTTTCAGCATTTCAAAAGTAGAACATGAAAAAATTCAAATCTGAAAGAACATTTATACCCTTAAGTAAACCCCAAGAATAGAACAAAAGTTGATTAAAGGTGATAAAAAATGTCTTCAAAATAAAGGAAAAGCTGACCATTAAATTGACATATATCAGAAGCCCATGAATACAAAATGCCAAATAGCTAGCTAACATGAACATAGCAGAGAAATCAGCAAGAAAAATTAGGAAATGAAAAAATGACATTGAAGCAGACAATGGATTTACAGTACTATTTAAACAAATAGCAGAAAAAAAGCCCATAAAAAAGAAATTAAAATTCCAAATATTAAAATTGAAAATCTTTTCTGATGGGAAACATAATCACTTTAGGCATGTTCCTAATTATTTGTTTCTTTTTTTTTTTTTTAATTGAATGAAAAAAAGAGAAGGGAAACACTGAAGAGTGAAATAGAACAACCTTTGCAAAACAAATGAACACTCTTCAAGGTTGGGAAATACAAGATCCAGCATACACCCAGTCCAAACATCTCCCCTCAACCAAAAGAAATAAAGAAAGACAGATAAATATCATGCACTATCATCAGCTGTGTTCTTCAGAACGGTCAGGTCTTACATACATTTACAATTTCTAACATCCAAAATTCACCATCACTTGAAATTAAATAATTATTCATCTGTGTAGCAAAGAGAATGCACAATATCTGATACTGAGACACACATGCACAAGGTCCATGGATATTTGAAGTGGTACACAGATGGCAACATTTTGAGTACCTTTCAGCTGTAGAAACAGAGTGGAATAAGCTATGAAGATTAGGGGGAAGAGGGAAAGACATACATGTGAATTACCCTTTTCAAAGTACTATGCTAGGTGGTAAATACATCATTTTTCTTGTTTTGAATCATAGTCTACAAAAATAGTTATCCTTACCAGGAGTATTTCAAATAGGAAATGCAGCATAATTTCTGAATTCCTGTAGAATGGCACACTATTAGGTTAAGTTACAGATAACGTTCCATGTGATGTTATGGTTAGTAGGCAGAATGGACAGGCTTCACAGAAAACCACTAACATTTCTGGATCTCTGTTACTTTATACCCAGATGGCATTAGGTGATTCCATTTGGCTGTCTCAGTACAGAATCTCATCTAAACTGCTATACACTTTGGCAGTAGCTAGTTAATGATAGCTTTTGCACTTGAAACATCCTTTGACGTCATCATAAGTTTTGTCAAGAAAAAAACTCTTGACAGCAAGGATATGAAGGTGATCTAACCCATAGAAATGAGGCTTTGGAAGAAAAATGATAAAAATAGCTTTAGTTGAAACAGAACTTTAAAACCACCTTAAAAGAAGTCTAAGGTGCGTTCAAGAACCTCCTTATCTTGAAAAAAAACATGAATTACAATGAAAAAGCAATTCTGAGCACAAAATTGACTTACCTTTAGTGTTCTTTTGTGTGTTCTTTTGTTTCTGCCTGTAAAAAGAGTGGGTTAGAAGTGCCACTGAAGTTCTTTGCCAAGAAACAAGACAAAGAAAGAAGCTTTTTAGTTTCAAGAAATAATCAAAAAAGATCAGTACTGAATACCAAATAGGGACAAAGAGGTTTGGAAGTACCAAATCAATCCCATCATGCTGTGGCAGTCATGCTAGAGTCAGGCCCAGCCGTGCTCCTCCAGCCTTCTCTGCAGCAAAGCCTGAGAATCAGAGGGAATTTTTGCATCAACCACAAATACATGTGATAGAGAACTTGTGCACCACCTGGCTTAGAAGTGGAACATTCAACACTTTCTGCTAATGTCTGGGATGAACAGGAACTGCAAGATGTCTCTTAAGGCTTGTCTTTCTAGAAATGGGGTACGTAGATACTAGATTCTGCTATTGAACAGCTCAAAGTGACAGAATGGAAGAGAACAAGCTTAACGGAAGTAAAATGGGGATTGTGAAGCAAATAAAAATGGTTCAGAATTCTCTCTCAAACAGAAAGGAGCAAAAAATTTCAGAAGGACTTCTAGTCATCACAGTAAATCGATCATTCAATTCTGAAGAAAAACAGCCTTTGACAGCTCTTGGAGTAAATCTCTCTTATCTAAGACCACTGCAGAAGGAGCCAGAGGTGGTTTCTGACTCAAGGACTTGCAGTAAAAGACTGCAATGCCTCCCTGCAGTTCTGGCTATATCCTCCCCTTGAGGAGGAAGGAGCAGCAGACACAGTGTGTGATAAACTGACTGAAGTCCTCGTCCCTCATACCCCTGTGCTGCTGCGGTGGGATGGGAAGGAGATAGAGAAAATTCAAAGTCGAGCCCAAGAAGAAGGGAGGGGTGGCAGGAAGGTGTTTCTAAGATTTGGTTTTATTTCTCATTTTCCTACTCTGATTTGATTGGCAATAAATTAAACTTATTTCCCCAAGTCAAGTCTGTTTTGCCTGTGACAGTAATTGGCAAGTGATCTCTCACTGTCCTTATCTTGACCCATAAGCCTTTCATTGTATTTTCTCTCTCCTATCCAGGTAAGGAGGGGAATAATAGAGCAGCTTCAGTGGGCACCTGGCATCCAGCCAGGGTCAACCCCACCACACCAGGTTTTTTGTATGTTAAAGGTTTCTGTGTTATTGGACTGAAACTTTGAAGGAAACATTGACTTTGATTTTCTGGCATCACTGAGACTGAAGGAGCAACATCCAGAAAGTTGCTGCATAGACAGAAGCCAGAGTTTGGTTCTAACAACCTCACTTAAAGACCTCCTATGTCTAGCTGGTGACACCGAATGCAGGGATCACGGACTTCTTCAGAAAATAGTCCTGGATCTTCTACTCAGTGCTTGAGGCTTTAAGACCTTGTAGTTATTACAACAGTTTGAATATGACTATTATCCCTGATCTTGCAGAAGACAACTGATGGTATCCTTCTGCCAAAGGATGGATATAGGTAGAATATTTGTTTTGGTGATGCCAAACTTGGAATTTCAGTCAGAGAAGCTGAAGAAATAGCAACATTTACCTGAGGATGGCTGAAAAGCATCACTGAAATCTAGAAGAGCTACATTTCACAATCATAAAAGGAACACCAAAGTGTGACGTGTGAATTTAGCAGTTTCACATCAGAAGAAAATAAGTGCTATTTTACATATGCACTTATCAATGTATTGCAGTGGTAATATGGTAAGGGTCTAATTGCAGTTTCTACAGAAACTGAAGAAACACAAATTCAAATGATAATGTAGTATATACTGATTATTACTAAAGGGTTTTTATCTTATACAGCAAACTGGAAAAAAATTGTGAATAACTGGGATACAAATAAAGTGTTTCATGTTTTCATAAGTATTTAAATTTTCCTAATTGTTAAACATCAGGGGTTGTTACTTAGCAAAACTCATTAGCCTTCTACGTCAGCTAGTCACAGGGTACTCAAAGTTAATTCATGGTAGCAAGGGAAAGAAATAGATAGAAGAATTGAGACAAGTAAAATGGTTACAGTCATGTTTACCTGGATTGCTTTCCAAACTCCTTTTTGAGCTTGAATTTCTTAGGGGAAAAAAACATAAGAAAACAAGTTAATAGACAACAGCAATAGAAATTTAACACTAACATCACAATAAAGAGGAGCATAGCTTTACGATTTTTTTTCAAGTACAAAACTATACTTAAAAAGGAAGAGTCTCAGGAACACGAGGTAAATAAATATAGACCATACTATAATTTAAAAGTAAAAGTTTATTACTTTTCTAGATTTAATGTGATTTATTCTTGGTAGTGTAAAATAATTAAATACATTGAGAAGCTGTCCTGGCTTACCTGAATGGATATTGAACATCAAATGTCCAAAGTTTTAAAATCTTAGTGCCTTCTATATTTTACATGATAGACTTCTTTTGCAATTTCAAGTAGAAAAATGAAGATGTTTTAGCCTTTCCTTATATGACCATCCTGCTCATCTCACTTCTAGGATAACAGTCATGTATTACATTATTATAGTTTGCAACTTGCAAATTTTTGATAAACACATAATCTGAACGTGTGTCAGATTAGCAGACCATCATAACTGTACCTTATTACAATTTAATTCAAACTGTAATTGGAGCTCTTTCTTTTTTAATTGAATTTAGGGAACAGAAAACCAATTATTTAAGCAAAACTAGGCACAATATGGCCAAAAACAAAGTAAGAAATTGACTCAATCAACGCTAATATCGAAACACATTTATTCACATCCATATCTGATCTTTGGAAATGCATATGCCATCAGCACTTGGAGGAGGAGGTTTCTGTATAACAAGGTCATGAACATCTCCCAGATGCCACATACATAAGAAAATACAAAAACAGGTGCCAGACATCCCCATATATTCTCAAACTGCAAATCCCAAAGATTATTAAGAACTTCAAGGAAATAGAAGTAATGGAGATCAATGTTCATGTGGAAAAGACACCCTATAATCAGTGAGTAACAGCCTTTTTTTCAAACAAAAGTTTATACGCTGGCTCCAAGGATAATTCCAAGCAACGACTTATGTCCATGGCCCTGCCCCCGCCCTCACATCTCCTTACCCACATATGCATATAGTGTAACTCAGTCCAAATCCTGAGTCTATTAGGCAAACCGTGGCATCTGGACTCCTCTCCAAAATGCAGCAGCATTTTGAATGACTAATGTTAACACTTGGAGATTGCACAAATATATTTTTCAGTCTATTCAGTAACCCAAGGGTACAGTTTAACTGGTGGCTACAGACAGACATGTTTTTCAGACACACCAGGGGGTAATTGCTCTCACAGAATATCAGCAAATCAGAAATATCAGCAAATCACAGAATATCAGCGAAGACCAGGCATTCAACTATAAATTGCACCTTCATTTATATGATCGTATTCAAAATTCATCAGTATTCAGCTGTTGCTTAGGTAGAGAAATATTTTACCTTCTGTGAACCTGCTCACAGTCCCTGTGTATGTCTTCATGTGAGTATGTACGCTTTAAATCATTACAAATGCAATGCTTTTGCTAATTTATGGTAACTAAGACCCAATATAGCAATGGTAACTTAAAACTGTTGACAGAATGGTTATTTTGGAAGTGGTAGTAATGCAGGTATTGCTTAATAAAGGCACTCAATCAACTTGAGTGGTGCTAGAAAGCAATCATTTCATCTTTGAAGACAGGACCACCAGTAATGGCTGCATGTAGAAGTTAAGTTCTACCAACAAGTGAATCAGAATACCTTCAGAATGAAATTCCATCTCTAACCATAAATGCATGGCTTTGAGGTACATTTCTGACTGACTACATGCCTGGGATGTTAACACTAGCTATGACTTGAGAAGAAAGCTTAAGAAACAACAAAGCCACAAAAAAGTGTATGTAGTCAAATGTAAAAATGTAGTAATTTTAAAATGTAGTCAAATTAAAAAAAAAGATTTTTTATAAAAATGAGAGGATTTTTTTAAAAACTTTATGAGGTACAGCTAAAAAACCAAAACACTTGCAAGCTAGAGGGAAATTACTTACAGGTGTCATATTGGAGGCACAAAGTACATGCAAGCCAAGTTTTGACAGATACTTTGGAAATATCGAAAAGAAAATCAACAGCACTAAACAGAAGAGAAGCTATTAACATCAAGATAAAAAGTTGAAATTATATCTAAAAAAAAAAACAAGAGAGAAAAGATCCTGAATTTTGCATATTGAAATCTAAAAATACTATCAGGCAAACTAAATAAGAGGTCTGGAAAATCCTGCACAGGACATAAATCAAGTCCTTTTCCAAACACATCTGATAAGAAGCCTGCTAGACACAATGTAAAGCCAACAGAAGATCAGAAACACTTAAAGACAGACTTAACACGAATCACTTAGAAAACAGGATGATAGGGGGCAAAAGCCCAAATTCCAAAGCAAATAAAACCTGCAAGCCGCTAAGAAGCAAACTCATGATATGATTTATAATGAAAAAAATATTTAGCTGACACATGGAAATTTTGATGCATAGGAGAGGAATCAGAATCACTGGGAAGTAGTGCTTGAAAATTCATTAGTTTTCTGAAGGATTTAAAAAGTATGTGGAGAAGAGATGTCTGGGTGATTCAGTCTCCCTGGACTCCTGAATGATAAAGTATTGTACGCACAACTCCTTAATTAATTTCCTGGGAATGAGACATCCCTGCCTCACTCCCTGTCCTTTATTGTGACCTGTGACCTGCCATTATCTGTGACCATTTACTAGGCAATTCGTTTTCTATTCTGGAGAATACTGTTATTCATTACTTCTCAAGTGTTTTAAAATGCACAGTTAAAATCATATGTTATAAATTATTTTTTTTTTATATTAGGTTGTTTGCCCAATAATTCTCTGATACAGAGATCGTTAATTTCAATTCTTTCACTCTAAAAAATGAATTTAATTAAAAATATACCTTGAAAGAGATTTCTTCTGCAATTTTGTTTTTTTTTTTAGTTCCTTATACTTTTTTTTTGTTTCACTGTAGGACAATTCAGCATTAGAGACACCTTCATTTAGTCTTTCTAGTTGCTGTTCAGTCTTTCTTATGTTTTTGCAGATAGTTTCGATTTTTGACTTGTTCTTTCTTTCTTATTTAACTGTTGAAACAAAATGGACAACATTACATTTCATTGTATAAAGTATATTGATTAAAATAAAATTAAACCCCATTTTTGAATAGGTAAAGCTAAACCACTTTAAAATCAAAAGCAATATTTTATTAGCCTGCTATTTTATGCTGAACACACCAGGTTCTACCTCAAAACATTAGTCTCTATTCATGAGTCTAAGGCAGACAGCTGATATATTAAACAACTTTTTTGTTTTGCTGTATATCTATACTGTTAACCTGCATCATAGAGTCACAGAATGGCTGAGGTTGGAAGGAACTTCTGGAGGTCATCTGGTCCAACTACCGTGCTCAAGCAAGGTCACCTACAGACAGTTGCCCAGGACCATATCCAGATGTCTTTTGAGTATCTCCAAGGATGAACAATCTACAGCCTACATCAGCAACTTGTCAGTGCTCTGTCACCTTCACAGAGAAAAAGTGTTTCCTGATGCTCATACAGAACCTCCCATGTTTTGTTGTTTGCCTATTGCCTCTGGTCCTGTTAGTGGACACCACTTAAGAGAACATGGCTCCATCCCCTTTGCACCTTTCTTTCACTATTTATAGAGTCATAGAATCACAGAATGTAGATATACATAGAATTTATATACATTAATAAGACCTTCCCTGCCCCCTCTATTTTCCAGGCTGACTAGTTACAGCTCTCTCAGACTTCCCTCATGTGACAGATGCTCCAGTCCCTTCATCATCTTCATCACCCTTTGTTGGACTCTCTTCAGTACATCCATGTTTCTATTGCACTAGGGAGCCCAGTACTCCAGGTGTGGCCTCGCCAGTACTGAGTAGAGGGGAAGAATCACCTCTTTTGACCTGCTGGCAACATTGTTCCTAATGCAACCTAGGACGCCATCTGCCTTCTTTGCAGCAGTGCCATATTGCTGGCTCATGTTCAACTTGATGTCCACCAGGACCTCCAAGGCCTTTTCTGACAAGCTGCTTTCCAGCTGGGTGGCTCACAGCAGGTACTGATGCATGGAGTTGTTCTTCCCCAGGTGCAGAACTTTGCACGCCTCCTTGTTGAACTTCATGAGGTGCCTTTCACCCCATTTCTGCAGCCTGTTGAGGTCTCTCTGGATAGCAGCATGGTCCTCCAGTGTATCAGCCACTCCTCCCAGTTTGGTATCATCAGCAAACTTACTGCGGGTACACTCTGCCCCATCATCTGAATGATCAGTGACCATCAATGAAATTAAACAGGACTGGATCCCTGGGGTACACTTCTAGTTACTGGCCTCCAGCTTGACTTTGTGCCACTGAGCACCACCCTTTGGCCTTGGCCATTGAGGCAGTTTTCACTACACTCTACTGTCAGCTCATCCAGCCCATACATCAACTGCTTATCTATGAGGATCTTAATGGTAGACAGTGTCATAAGTCTTACTGAAGTCCAGGTAGACAATATACAGTGCTCTCCCCTTGCCTATCAGGCCAGTCATTTCACCATAGAAGGTATCAGCCAGGTCAAGCATGAAGTCCCTTTGGTGAATCCATGCTGACAAACCAAATGACTTTCTTGTCCTTGTGAAATGTGCCTGGAAAATGGTTTCTAGGATTATCTTCTCCATCACCTTCCCAGGGACTGAGGTGATGCTGACTAGCCTGCAGTTCCTTGGGTCCTCCTTCTTGCCCTTCTTGAACATGGAAGTGACATTTACTTTCCTCCAGTTCTCAGACACTTCTCCTAGTCACTCAGTTATAGAGAGTGACCTCACAATGACATCTGCCAGGTCCCTCAGTACCTGTGGCTGCATCCCATCAAGGCCCATAGACTTATGTATATCCAGTTTGGTTAAGTATTCCCTGACCTGACCCTCTTCCACAAACAGTATGGCTTCCGTCTTCCAGCCTTTCCTCCCCATCCCTGGGACCTGGGATTCCTGAAGACTGGCCCTTGCTAATAAAGACTTAAGTAAAGAAGGTATTCAGTACTTGATCCTTTTCCATGTCCTGTGTCATCAGGTTCTATGCCTTATTCAGCAACGGGCTCACATTGTCTATAGTCTTCCTTTTGTGATCGATGGACTTACAGAAGCCCTTTTCGTTGCTTTTGATATCTCTTGCCAGGTCAATTCCATTTGAGCTTTGGCCTTCTTAATTCCATCTCTGCATCTAAGTGTCTCTGTATTCCTCCTAAGTTACCTGTCCCTGCTTCCACCCTCTTTATGCTTCCTTTTTATGTCTGAGTTTTGCTAGTAGCTCCTTGTTCATCCATGCAAGCATCCTGGCATTTTTCCTGACTTCCTACTCATTGGAATGGACTGCTCTTGAGCTTGAAGAAGGTGATCCTTGAATACCAAACAGCTTTCTTGGGTCCCCCTTCCAAAACACAGTATAAAACTACCAATTTTGGATGAGAAGAAAGTGGTAAGAACAGCCCTTTTATCTGTAAGTGTTGAAATTGGGCAAAGATCTTCTAATCTATTTTATAATAAATGACAATGTCTAGGGTACTTCATATCAGTGTAGTGGTACAGGTTAGTCATATAGCTGAATAAAATAATTCCTAAGTATTTTGCTATTTGTGGAATTCTTATATCATATAAACCAGTTTATTTATATACAAAAAGACTTTTAATGGAAGTAAACAAAATATAATTTGGTTAGATTACACAGCAAAAACCAAACTGAATCAAATACAGAAAACCTACAGGTAAACACTGATATTGCTTTGACTGACAGAATATAATCTTTGTATCATTGAAACAGTATTCTTCAAGGGAACTTTTCTTTGTAGAAGGATGGGATTACTGAAGAATTATTATTACCACTGAGTACCTGCTGAATTGGAATGATAAATCTAAACGGTACTGTAAGGTTCTTCACAGGATATAGAGCACTGCTTCCGATAATTAATCTGCAAACCCACAACAGGCTGGCACTGTTCACACATTTTCTTAGCTGAATCAGTGGCCAGAATATTTCCCTTACTTTAATATAGACTGTAATTGTCTTTGTTAAATGAAGGAAACATAATTTACCTTACCTTAAATTCATAAGCAAATAGGTCTATTGCATGATTCTATTATTTTTCAAAGATATTGCAAAAACCTGTAATAGCACTAACAAACTGAGCTCAACATGAAAGAACAGCAATCATGTCTGCAAAAGTCTATCAGCTGCACCTCCGAGTAACTTGATAACTTAAAAAGCAGGCCGCTATAATCACTCCTGCACCAGCCGGGAATCGAACCCGGGTCGCAAGAATGGGAATCTTGCATGATACCACTACACCACTGGTGCTTACCACCGGCTCTTACCCCTGAAAAGAGGGCAACCAAATCACCCTGAGCTGTCCCTCCGCGCACAGTGCGGCACAGATAATTACTGTTTTACACAGTCCTTCAATATAAAGGACCGTTAAAACACTGCAAATTTGACATGTAGAACGCTTAAAAATCACATACTTCATGACACATGAAGTTCTCCCTAATTAAGCACTTTTAATATGTCATCATGTCATCTTTTTACACCCTCCCTTTCCCCACACTTATTGTATGGAATTTTGGGGGTGTGTTTTATTTTAATTGTCAATGTATGTATTTTGTCTTTTATAGAATTTTAATTATTTTCTTTCAAGTGAAATTCAGAAAAGTTAGATGATAAATTTCAGCCTGAGGTTATTCGAAATCCTTGAAATGCTTAATTATAGACTTAAAATAAATGAAAGTTTCACTTTCATAAGCATGTTTTCAGTGAAAAAATAAAGCTTGCTTTCTGTATTTATATATCAGGCATTACTTATTTCCAATTATTTGTGATAACTCTATCTTTTCTCTCTCAAGTTCTTCATTTTCACATTTCAAACCGTCCAAAGCTTCATTAATATTGAGAACATTTTGCTTTATATCCAGTAGATCCCTTTCCTCAGTGGATTTCTAATGAACATGAAAATATTACGAAATCTTTAAAACAAGTTCAAATTATTTCAGGCCAACACAGAAGATACAAATATGCAAGCCTTGTTATCTCATTTATACAAAAAGAATAATGAACTTACTAATTCTTCCACAGCTTTAACTACTTCAGAAGAAGCGTCTGATATTTTTACAAGTTCATCTCCTTGGGCAGCCATTTTATTATTCAAATCTTCTATCTAGAAAATATTTCGTAAAGTAATACAAATATCTCCTGCATTTCTTATTTATAATTAAACAATATATTTAAAAAAGAAATTTCAAAGGAAGGCTATTAAAGAGTATTAGGGATACTTAATGCTCTAGTATTCATATGCATGTTGTCATTTGCAATGTACCCTTGCAAAATATTTAGACTTCACAGTATCTGTAAGCACACACAGCCTCCTAATTCATACACGATGTATGTGGTATAATCAAACATAATACCTTTAGTTCCTCTAGGTCTCAAGATATTGATACAGATTCATGCAGAGATTCAAGGATAAATCACTGGATCTCAAGGGAAAATTTGGATGTTAGAGAAGCAAGCACCTTCAGGAAAAGGAAAATATCTGCAGTGGCTTTAGCTAGATAAAGGCAACACCTGCTCACATTGAGACTAATGAACTTTGTTTCCTTCACCTTTCCTTCCTCTGCAGAGGCTGAAACAATACAGCTATCCTGGCAATTTACCTATACAATTGCCATAGAGATAAAGGTATAACTCAAATATGACCAGACAACAAAAAAGTCCAAGCAGGATAAGGGTTGATAAGGATGTTAGAGTACAAATGTGGAAAGATCAGGACAGAATTAGAACACAGGTACTTTAAATGGCATGTAGTTTCCTACTGCTACCTCAAGAATCTGATGAAGAGCAGATTTCATAAGATACTTTTCGACTTGTCCTTACAGGGTCCAAAGTTGTATGAAACAAAGTTGTATGAAGTTCAAAAACCAGCATGATTTAAAACAAGAAATAAAAAAGCCAGGGGAAAAAATGCAGGAATATACTAGTTTACAACATTAATTCTGTCTTCAAACTTGTTGATGTACATGACAACTGTCGTGTTATAATTTGGATCCAATTCAAACCCCTCTGAAGTCAATGAAAATAATCCCAATGTTTTCCTGATTTCCAAAGTAACTCCATTATCCCAGTAATATTTCTATGATGATCAAAAGAATCACTTTGAGATTTCTGAAAATCCATCACTAAAGATATACCCAGTTAGCTGTTTCTGAAGGAAATTGGCAATAACAGATGAGCTTTATGCTAAACTTAACTCTGGCTCACCTTTAGCAAACAAAGGTGGTCACTGAATGGAGCAGTTTCATGCTCCACCTTACCCCTGTTGCGTATTTCTCTCTTTCCCTGGTGTTCATCTTAATACATAAGTAGAACTTACTGAAATTTATTGTGTCAGCAAACCCAGCTGGAAACATCCAGAAAGAAAACATAAAAAAAAAAGTAAGTACTGGGTCTATTTGAAAACAGTGGTTTTCTAGATATCAGTAACGGGAAGGAAATTGTAATAGCTGGAAACAAAAGGCAAGAAGATGCCCATTCATGGGTGTCTGACTGTATCTTTACTTTGGTTGGGGGTGTGCTTCACAATTCTTGTTAAATTCTGGGCATGCTTGGTAGATCCAGCTTCTCAAAAATACTCTATCTATATTCTGGATTCCATTGGATCCTTAGCAGGACCTAGCTATCTAGATGCTCAAACCACAGCAGGACTGGGCATGTACAAGAGAATGGATGTCATACTTTATTTATACTTGTATACATACACACATATACACATAGATATAAAAAAATAACAAGTTCTGTTGTGGTCATCTAAATCCTGGTTCCACATATGAAGCTAATAATTAACAAAAACTCCTAGTCAGACACAGTGAGGAACTCCAGTTCAGATTTTAACCTGCCAAAGATTTCAAAATGAATGCTAAACAAATATAGCAGTAAACAGGGGAATTTTAAGTTAAATAGGGTATCACTATGTATGCTGTAAAAGTGCATCATGTGCCACCTCAGGTCAAAAAATCTACTAATTCAAGAGGAAACTTATGCTGTCTGCACTTTCTTCCAGATGATTAAAGAAGATAAGAAATATGAAGCAGATATGAACCCAAAACCTAAAAATATTCAGGTCAATTAAAAGAATATAAGATGTTTATTATATTTTTAATAATTAGAGATGAAAAATAATATTACAACAAAATAATGAATATGAGAGTTCTGCAGAATCTACCACTTCTTATTTTAAAATCTCTATTTGTATTTTTACTTTTACAAAGGACCTTAACTCTTAAACATACAAAATATTCAGGCATTCATGTACTTTTCAGTAAAAGATACTCATTTAGTTGCTTGTTTATAAATATTCAAGACTCACTTTGCTGTTGCAATATTCTGCATCTTCCTGGATTTCTGCTTTTTGCTTCACTAACTCCTCAAGGTGTTTTTCATCCTTTATAATCTTCTTCTCTGTTTCTTTTAACTTCATACAGTATTCGGTCCAAATAAATTCAGACTGCTTTAACTCATTCCTAATAGAAATACACACAAAGTGAATCCATCTATTTGGAAATACTCCAAGGTAGTCCCTTTCCATAAAAGAAAATGTAAAGCAGAACTGAATTAGTAAAGATTTATTTTGGTTCTCTACTACATTTCTTGAACAGGTATGCATGAGAGAATTTCAAAATATCTAGCCTGGCAGACTCATGCAATCTCAGTCAGATATCAAAATTACTCACACTACCAGTTTACTTGGATTTAAAGATGCCTGCCAATATTACAGCTTCTAATTTGACCTCTGAACAGGTATCTGTATAGCTAAACGTAAGACTTTGTTTCATACCTCACATGCTAATAAAAAGAAAAAATAGCAGCGAACTTCTTTCTCTGCTGGTGGTTAAATCTACTTCAGAGTCATCTTCACTTAATCCACTGCACTGTCACTTTGTGGACAAATGTCATGTGTAGAGAAAATTTTTTACTGACATCAATTCCTCATGTTAAAGGAACTTGCAGACAGTAAGCAAGGTCATAGGAGCGGATAAGGACTTTACTTTCACTCTGAGTAACAGAGTTATCAGCATTATGAGAAGGAAAATTGGCCATAATTACTGAAAGGAATAATATTAACTACAACAGTAGTCATGAAAACACTTCTATAATACGCTGTTAGACCTCATTCTAGGCTGTGAACAGGCCTCTTGTTATAGCCATGGATTTGGTGAAAGGCAAAAGAGATAAAGGCGCACCAGGTTTTATAATGACTCTTGGTGCTTTACCATTATTTTTATTATTGTTTCAGCAGGCAGAAAAGAGGAGTTTCCTTCACGCTCCCCAGAGAATTATCTTTGTCAGTAACATATTCCAAAGCATGCCTTAAATGGCAAAATAAATCCACTGCAGCAGAACTAAGACCAACAGTAGTTGAGTTTTAGAGACATCTATTGCATTATAACCTAAAAGACCTCCTGAACAACCGTTGCATACCTTAACACAGTAAGACAACCAAAAACAATAATGAAAAGACTTCATCACTAATTCAAGAGCCACTCCTACAAGATTATTTGATAGACATTCTTCCCTTATTTGCTTCCAGGATTTCATTTAGTGATGTAGTAAAGATTTACCTTGCAAAGTCACATTCCAAATGTCACAGAATGTATATAACTTCAGTGTGAAACCTAAGACTTTGAAGACTTCAATCTTCTTAGGTCCTATCACACATGGGAAAAAAAAAAAAAGATACTTGGAACTATTCTAATGACAGACATGTAACAGGCATAGACTGTAATTTTTTTTCTCATATTACCTGTCAGATACAACTTTCTGTGCACAAGCTCATGGAAAATACATTACTACCAGCCACAGCAAGTATGTGTAAAATTAACAGTCTGTGTTGTGTGATTTACTCAGCCCTAGTATTTTACGTTTCATGCAATCTTCATCTTTTTTCTCATGGATGGCACAGAATATAAAGAAAAGAGTATCAACTGCAGAACAGTCTTTCAAGTCTGGGCCATAACAAATCTGTCTTTATCACTCCTGTCAATACCACATGTTATTCTAGTCCTCCTCAGATGGCAGCTGAAGTGTCTACATCCTCTGTAATGTAAGTATGACTTATTACCAGTCTAGCAAATGGCTGAGGGGGAAGAAACAGTAGGCCTGCTGAAGGACAGAAAAACAGTCTTCTACTCAGTGTTTTCCTGTAAAGGCTGCTATTCCTAAAAACACCACTATCATTAGCATTTTAAGTTTAATTCACATTTACACAAACAAAACAGGTTACAAGACGTGTAACAGTCCACACCACTGTCATGTGATATGGATAGGAAACCAATTAACTAGGTGAAACAAAAAAATGTACTTTGTATATTTCTATCAGTATAGATAATGAATTTCCAGTATTAGTTACCTATTGTTGTTATCACAGGGATATTCTTTACAGTATGCCTTTTTTCAAAAATACAAAGAGTTCCTTTAAAGCAATTTTAATGCACCTCAAAACAAAGGCACGTTACAGGAAAACACTCCACTTTCTTGCATATGAAACAATCCCAAGAACCTTGATTTCCACCAAGACTACCAAAAAAACCCATGAAAACTGCCCACACTGCCCTACAACTGCTAAGCATTATGTCATTGTCTGTGACCCAGTGTCAGAATTCTACAGGGAACTGAACAAAATCATAGAATCATACAATCATAGAATAGTTAGGGTTGGAAAGGACCTTAAGATCATTTAGCTCCAACCCCCCTGCCATGGGCAGGGACACCTCACACTAAATCATATCACCCAAGGCCTCGTCCAACCTGGTCTTGAACACTGACAGGGATGGAGCATTCACAACCTCCCTGGGCAACCCATTCCAGTTTCCCTAACAGGAAAGAATTTCCTTCTTATATCCAATCTAAACTTCCCCTGTTTAAGTTTGAACCCATTACCCCTTGTCCTGTCACTGCAGTCCCTAATGAAGAGTCCCTCCCCAGCATCCCTATAGGCCCCCTTCAGATACTGGAAGGCTGCTATGAGGTCTCCATGCAGCCTTTTCTTCTCCAGGCTGAACAGCCCCAACTTCCTCAGTCTGTCTTCATACGGGAGGTGCTCCAGTCCCCTGATCATCCTCGTGGCCCTCCTCTGGACTTGTTCCAACGGTTCCATGTCCTTTTTATGTTGAGGACACCAGAACTGCACACAATACTCCAGGTGAGGTCTCACAAGAGCAGAGTAGAGGGGCAGGATCACCTCCTTCGACCTGCTGGTCATGCTCCTTTTGATGCAGCCCAGTATATGGTTGGCTTTCTGGGCTGCATCCTGCAGATGCATAAAAGACTATTCTGCATAAAAGACTATTAAAAAGTGAAGTAGTCAGAATGCAAGATGAAAAATTCTAATACTAACGAAAAAAATGCAGAAGTAAGATTAAACTATCAATATTCATTGAAAAAATAGGTCAACAGCATAGTATCTCAAAATCCTCTATCTGTTGCTTTGATATCTTTACAAATTATCTGAAAGGGCAAGGAGCAGTAAAATTAAAAGCCTGCATATAATGTGATTACAACAGGTAAGGCCAAAAAGAACTAAGAAACTGCAGAAAAATTTCAAGACAAGCTGAGTAACTGGAGAACAAAGGAGCACATACCACTTAATGTCTGAATTCAAAAGAAGTACAAGGTCAGAGAGATTAAGTGCACCTTAAAATTCTGAATTACCTGCATCAAATCAAGAAAGACATGTACATATTTCCACAAACATTTGGAAAGTCTAATCAACATTTATCGCAGCTAAAGAAGCTGAGAAGATGTTGGATTAAGTAAAAAATAGGATGCAAAGCATTAGAATAAAAAATAAGAGTAAGTCATCCCTGTTATCATCGTTGACATGGCTTAATTTGGAATACTGCCTGCATTACCATTAAATGCATTTCACAAAAGTATATCACAGAATTGAAAAGGAGTCATAAAATACATATGTCTTCTGAAAGCACATTGAAAATAATGGATTTTGCTTTGGAAAACAGACAGAAAGAAAGAACAAAGTGAAAATCCAAAGTCACAGAGAATACAGGCTAGTGAAGGAGGATCACAATACACAGCAATATGTATCATTGTATACATGTTAAGGGTTAGACTCCCAAACTACAGGAATTTGCCTGCAGGTGGACAATAATAAATTGCTGCTGACTACACTTTGTAAATATGAATTGATAAGGAACAAAGTCTAATAGTAGGCATATGCTGGAAGAGTAAAAGATAAAGAAAGAACAGTGAAATAATATAATTTAACATTATTTATTCTGGTATTACACACTAAAAAACACCTCCAGCCATTGTGAACACTTCTTGGCCAGCAGCTAGTAATTCAGACTGCTTGACAGAACACTAAATAGGCCAGTGAAATTCTAAACTGATTTGCAGGGTATCTGAATACACGGCAATTAATCACATTGAATTTTTGGTAACACTTCTTACTCAAGACCTGTTATTTCCCATAATTAAAATCAACATGAGGTTTGCAATGAACTTAACCAATTACAGAATCTCAGTCCATGCTGTCTGATTTCTCTCAGCTGGAAACCATGGAGGAGCTAATGAGCATTTGATCAGATCACCTCTGTATCAATCTTTAAGCCATAATTAAATTTCCAAACATTGTGAAGACGTTGTGAAGCTTGCATTCACAGGCTCATACCCATCAAAAACAAGAATTATTTTTTACTCTTCACACGCCTCTCCCTTTATTTAGATACACTAGTGATTTTAATTGGAGAATCATATGGTAATTTCCAGGTGTCACTTCACTTTTGACACGTGTTGGTATTAAAGAATTCTGGTCTCAGGTTTTGTATAATATAATACTTGGGGTTTACCTATATTTTTTACTACAATTTTAATTTTCATATACTAATATTCTTTCTAGATTGTGAACTTGGCTCTGAAATGAAAAAAGTTAAGCTTTAGCTAACTCAGCATGTTGACTGTGAATTTTTAATCTTGGGGGTAATAAAATATAACTAGCATAAATACCTCTAATATAGTGACAAAATTATCGTGAACTCAATAATGATACGACAAAGAAATTCACTGTAAAGGTTAGAATCAAAAAAAGGAAAAAATCAGACATGCTGACAAAAGAAACAAATCAGAGTTTTACTCATGTCTTTTAATTATGCCTGTAAACTTTCCTCATCTCAAGGGGAAAAGAGGCACTGTGTTGCTTGCTACTTTGCCAAACAAAACCTGGCAACTAACCGTAATTGAATACAACCTTCTACCAAACATGAAAGTACTTGGTATTCTTGTTCTTTGGCATAGTTATCCTTCATGCGGATTCTTGGGCTCTATGTTCAGCAAAGGAGAGTTGACTTAATCAGTGACTGGCTATTAGTGGTGGCTTACAGTTATTTATAACTCTACTCGATAATTCAAGGGTTAATAATCTGGCAAGAGGTTACAGTGAGGAAACTGCAACATAAGACACTGCCATACAAAAGCTGCCTTGCAATCCAATAAAGATATAGAAAGTCTGTTGGCTTGATAAGCTCAAAAGCATGTGCTGTTGACTTGAATTGTTCTGTCTAATATGCAAGTTAAAAATTAAGTTACAACATAACTACAGTACCATGATAAGTGCTGATGTTCAATGAAAGTAATTTGTGCAGTCAATAAGAATGACAGCAAAAAGTTCTGTCAGATTAAAAATTCCTAAGTAAGTAATATAAGGTAAAATTGTATGCTTAAGGAGTCGATTCACAAATTTTCCATTTGGATGTAATTTTGGACATCACCCCTTCCTTATTGTCATGGTTCTGCTCATGGAAGCTAGGACAAACAAGGCAAACACTTCTTTTATGCATAATTTTATTGATATAAATAATTAAACCAGAATTTATAATTACTTCTTAAAGCAATATTCTATCATTTCCTTGTTAACATTAAAACTAACAGGATATTATAATATCATACTTAACAGCTCTTACTTGTATTGATGCAATAGCATCTCAGCACATTCAGTTTCCACAGACATAGATTTTATCTTCTTTTCAGATTCTTCAGCAATTACTTTCATAGTCTTTTAAATTTCCGTGTGTTCACAACAAACATCACTATATAATTTTGATGCCTAAGAAAATAAAACAAGTTTTCTGAAGGATGTTAGATAAAAATTGTCTGTAATGTTTAAAATAAAAAGTTATTTCAAGATTTCTCTGATTATTTGCACTTTGATAATTGAAGTTTAACGTTGAAGTAGTACTTTGTGATGTCATGCAACTTAACAACAAATTTTGCATTGTCTGCAATACAGACAATCCTAGGTGAAGACAACAGGATGTGTTGTAATATTGCCTAGCATAAGAAAACATTAGCAAGAGGTCTTTCACTCTGTTACAAAACTTTGAAGTTACTGTGAAAAGGTGGCTACTTCCATAGGAAAACAGTGACCTCTGGAGCAGAAAGAAAGAAATAATGTTGAAAGAAGCCACTGAGATTTCATTCAGTAATCTGACAAAATCATTACTTAAACAGCTCCCAGAGAAGTCACCTATGTAAAGAGGGGCTTCAGACAGTGCAGACAATGAACGCAATTTTCAGTGGTACAAATAGTATTGGGACACTCAGTTCCCAGCAACTCTCAAATAGAGATATGAACATCTCTATTGTCTCTGCTTTTTAAAAATATTACATATATTAAATAGTAGCATGACAGAAAAACTTTATTATAATCTAATATTGATCTAATATTATAATCTTTATTATAATCTTTATTATAATCACCTCACTGCTCAAACTAGCTCTCTGGATATCAAAAGCTAGAGATTCAAAATCAAATAATTGTTTTAATTGCAAATAAAATTAATGATCAGCTGCTTTTTTAAGGCCATGGGAGGAAAAAACAAACCTTGGTAACAAACAGCATAGAAATTAGAACAAAATAAAAGGAATAAATAATTTAATTTACAGTTAGAAATATTAAAATGTTGTTGAAATGGATTACATAAATAAGTTACAGTAACACCAATCTATCTTCTTGCAATAAGTAGTGTCACCTTTTGGAAAGGAAAATTAAAAAAAAATCTGTGGGGAAAAAAAGTATTTAAAATAGGTTTTATAAAAAAAAAAAAATAAAATTTGTCTACTTTCTAAGTTGTATTTTAGCACACCTTAATATTTTAGCTGCATACATCATCTTCTGAGACACTGTCAAGAAAAAAGAGTACAGGATTAAATGCCTAAACCCCAACTTGATTATAATTAGCCAGTATTTTGAACATATCTCCTAACACTGATAAAATTGTTAGCTATTTCATAGGTCACACCTAACTTATGGTTATTCTCATACTATTTGTGTGATAGGCAATTAACTTTTTAATTTTAGAAGTATTTTGACATGACTGTTGAGGCCTCAAAATATGAGTTTAAAATAAAAGAAAGTAAAATAAACAATACTTATTTAGAATCACTTACAACCAAAGACCATTTTTAGACTGTAACTACCTTGAAAAAGGTACTAATCTCTAGGTCTGTATTTAGAAGTTACTATACAAAAATATATAGAAAACATAATAATTAGTACTAAAATCTGTACTTGAAATAACACAGTATCTCTTGCTTTTTAGACCTCAATTTTAAGGTATTTATAACTTTGATATACTTTGATAACTCAGCCTGACATTATCCACATTAGGTATTTATTGTCAACAAAAATTATTATCAACATTATTATCAATAAGTACAATCAACAAATAAGTAAACATGTACATCAGCGCTTAAAAAAAATTAAATCTTTAAAATATTTTTTGACAGCCTCTAACATCTCAGTATTCTGGAACACTGATGTCTGTAAGAAACCTGAGAAGAATCTATGCAGATACCAGATATGTGCCTTCTACTTTTCTGTGAAAAATCCCACATGAAATCAACTTACAAAGTTAGAATTACATTCCATATATGTAGTGAAAAGATTCTAAAAGAAACATCTGCTTGAGGTTTGTATTTACCTTTTCATAAACCAGCGACATATCCTTCACAGCTTCACCCTCTAGATTCAGCTTTTCTTCCAGCAGATGGCTGTGTTTCTTCATCAAGTCTGTATCCTCCAGAATCTTTCTGTTGTCTGTTTCTATTGGAGGTATTTGGTTTTGTATCTGTTGCAGCTGACGTCTTTTACAAGAGATGCCATTGTAGCTCCAAGATATCTTGAGCACACAGATCATACTCTGCTAAAAAGGTAATTAGCATAACAAAATGTTAGTATCTGTGTGACACCATAAATTCCTAGTGAGATTAATAAAAACATTGTCATAATACTTGCAAAATTTTGCTGTAAATCACTATGAAGGCCAAAAGAGGACATTGGTTATGAAAGACATCAGCTATAAAAGTATAAATATTGCATTAGCAGTGGAACTGTTTTTAAATTCATGCTTAATAATCTTAGTAGGTAATTTAAGCAGATCTTCAAAGCAAGGGGTGGTCTTGTTTTTACAAAGGAAATTAAAACATCTAGCCTTAAGGCATATCTTGAGGAGGCCATTATAAAACAAGAACAGCTCTACCGAGCTTCCTAGTCTCCAGCAACAGACATATGGATACAGAGGAAGAGTAGGGCAAGTATAAATCCCACATCCTCTTAATACAACTATTTTCAGTTCAGGGACATTATCTGAATTAAACATAGCTTCAAGAAAGCTAAACTAAAGGTGCAAACTCAAAGCCAACAAACAAAACATATTCATGTTGCAACACAGAAGTATGTCAGTCTTAATTCATTTTGCTGCATTTACTTTTCTGACCTTGCATAAATTTCCTATAGGTCTTTACCCTAAAATATGTAAGTAGATCACTGATTGGTGAATGACAACACATATTTCATTTAGCTTAGAAAAAAAAAACAAACTTATGAGAGATGGTGTTCTCAGAAGATAATGTTCTGTATGGAAAAATTACTGGTATTAAACTAGGAAAAGTAAAGTAAGACTTTCAGATAAGAAAAGTGAAAATAAAACAAAACAAAACCAACAGAAAATGTCTCAAGAGGAATAAATTTGTCATAAATTTGAGAGAGAGAAGCGCGTTTTACTCAGAAAAAAGGCTCTCTAGCTCTGAGAAGTTGCTATGGAATACTCAGTGCAATCCCTTGACGGCTGATAAATTTTGCCATGCTAACAAGACATAAATCACAAATTCACAAAATTATTTTATTGCTACTAAAATTTAAAAAGACATTATATGACTAAGTGGCTTTTTGACATCATACAAAGTGATACCTAACTTTGAGATTAATAATATGTGGTTTTCACTGGATTTTTGTTATATTTCAGAGAAGGTAATTTCCGAAGAGAGGCTATGTCACTGCAATTACCTCAACATACTACAGGACACAGATGCAGCAGGAGTTAGCAATAGAAGAAATCAAGGGAAGTTTGAAGAAATAGGGAGTCGGTGTCTACTTCGAATGGTTCAAGCAAACTCCTAATTAAGAATCTCCTAGGTTTGTAGTATTTAGATTAGGGATAATTATAACATCCCTGAAGTTCTTTTCCCTTTATCTTAAATTCCATTTTAACATATCTTTTGTCTTATAGATTATACTATGAAAAGTTATAATCCTAAGAAGTATGAATTTATTCCAAGGATACAACATCATACTGATATAGATAAGGGAGAATAGTTGGTTAATTTTCAGAGCCACACTTCATGATGGCTTTTTGTCCTTTTTTTTTAATTTTAAATACTGTATCACTGCATATATCAACAAAACTGAAAGCGTATTAATTATATTTCAGTATTCCAAATTTTTTATATTTATAAAGAATGCTAAACAATAAACTAAAAGCAACAGGAATGTATAGCAATATGCAAAAACTTTTTACAGCTTCACCACTCTAGGTAAGTACACCAAAAAGTAACATCTCTGCAGCTCAAATCCTGAACTACTGTGCTGAAGAATGATTGGACTATCAACCTTCTCTACTTGCAGTTCTTCTGGAGAACTGATCTTTCAATTGCCACAGGATTTTCTCCTGAAACCAGTTTCTGACCTATCAATGAATTTTAATTCTGATTCTTTATTCAATCTCCTTCTCTGCTTCATCATCAATCGTCCTCCAGAGGCAATTTCTTTCAAGGAAAACAATCTGCAAACTGGTAACACCTTAAGCACAAGTTTCTAGTTTCCAAGTCAAGAGTTAGCCATTGGCTAAAGAATAAACAAGCAAGCAAACATACATTTTCCTCATATATTGCTAGGGATGTTCACTATTCGACATTTTGCCTTCTGGGGGACCATGAGGGGTATGGATGGAGGGCAGAGAGAGAGAAAAAATAAAAAGCATTTAGGACCAAACAGCTCCTGGCTTGCCTCCATTATACAGTGATTTTCACTTAGTGTTTACTCATCAGTAAACAGTTATGGAGGACTCCTGCACTGTCACTACACTCTGGATTGTGAGGTATTTGACAAAGATCTCAGGATGATGTGTACCAGAATATGGACTTGATTTCTAACTGTGATTTTACATCCAGAAACCCACTATTATAAATTACACAACTTATCTAGAAGTCTAGGTTCAGATAGTACCTGCTTCTCACCATGAGTCAGAAAACAACACCCACCTGCTAACTAGCTGGTTTGGAGTCTTTTTACTTGTTTTTTTCTTTAGTTCTACTCTGTAGATTCCTACTAAATACGTAAGCATTTTGTTAAAATTTATCACATTAATTTTTCTCAAAACAAATTTATTTTTTTACTTGTGTTTTAATCTACGGCTTAACTCAAATGCATTATTTTATAATTCTGTTTCAGCTTGTCATTTCTTGCCCCAAAGATGATTTATTATCATCTTAAGAGTGTCTTGTCTGCTCTTCTGCTACGTCAAAAACAATGCTGAACATTCCATAGTACTTTCCTTTTCTTTTTTTTCCAGCTGTTTATTCAAGCAAATTCAAAAGAGCAAATACTGTACCTGTGTTACAGTAAGCACAACTATAGTCATATCATAATTCTTATTCTTGGTAATAAACTGACTGAAAAATAACAAATATTCTTATTTAAATACCAATACCTTTTTGCATGGCTGCAGGGAGCTGCTGAAGCCTCCAAAGTGACAAGCAATCCATTTTCACGCTAAGCTTTTTCCCTAGCTGTTTTTCCAGCTCCAAAGCTTTTTCTGCCTCCTCACTATCAGCCTCCAGTCACTTAATTAGCTGAGTAACACCCAATAGCAAAGCTTCTGGTTCCTTCTTCAAGGTTAATGCCTTGCCATCTTTAAAAATACATTAAAAATATTTTTTTATGAAAGCTTAATCATATGCTCTTTATTCAAGCTTCGTTCTCAACGCAGAGTTGGTCTGTTCACATCTATAGCAGTAAGAACAATTGGTTATATTTATGTCTTTAAAAACTACATAACAATTTTTTCTTATGAATGCTTAAACATACACTGTTTATTCTTACTTCTTTCTCAACATAAAGCTAGCCTCTTCACATCAAGACAAGCACAACTGGTTACAAACAAAACTTTCACACCCAATAGCATTTTCCTCTAGCTTATTTCCAAAGCCGAATGTATAAAAATGTATGCATGTAGATAGTACACATTTTTCATTTTTGCCTCACTGTTTGGGTAAGTAATCATCTAAATAATAGTACAAGTTCCTAATTCTCTCAACTTTTTGAAGAATACATTTTATTTTCCTAAGTATCAATACCTTCATTAAAGTCTTTGGAGTTCTAAGAATATTCAGTATAATATCTCAACAACACAGTTTTACTCATGATAGAAATAATTTCATTCTGTGAAATCTGGGTGTCAAAAAATGCCTCAGTTATTTGTCTTGATAAAAGATTTTTTGAGGTCATCATCCATTGTCCTGATCTATAAAAAACAATTATTATGTGAACTACAGAGTCCAAGACATTTCCACTTTGATTCCACAGTCAACAATTCCCTAATTTTTTTGATTAAAAACTGCAAAAAGAAGAAAAATTACTTAAAATCGGGAGTGAAATTGTGGCTTCGCTGTGATCAACAGAAATTTTATTACACCATTTACTGTGGACAGGATTGCCTCAGGCTAGTAGTACTTAAAAGGTTGCACACTGGCTTAAAAAAATTGCCCACGATTTCATGAATATTTAAAACTTAATTAAAAATTGTATAATCAGAGTAAAGATGCAAACTGTAAAAACAGAACTCGATGTTGGGAACACATTGTGACAGCAAAGCACTTATCTGTTTTACAAAAACTAAATAGAAAAAAAAATCTAGAATTTCCAACAACCGCTATAAATAATTTGGTTGGTTCAAAACCTAGACGGATTAAAATACAGTATGAATCTAAATACAGAAATGTAAATTATCTTCTTGCAAACAGGATGATTTAATAGTACTTATTATAACATTTTAGCCTGACAGATGATTGACAACTGATACGCACAGATTTCAAAGGATACTCACATCATTTACATAAGACTTTGAGAAGGCAACAAGCACCTATTATTGCAAATGCAAAGCATATATTAAATGAGGATAAGTAACTGTTACAACTCAGTCTGAGTATTATTAAATATTTTTACCTTCACAAGATACATCAGCTTCTTTAAAATCCAACTTGGTGGATAATGATAACCAGCTATCTTCAGTAGAGTCAGCACTGGCCTGTTTTGTTACCCTATAGAAAAAAGCCACTGTAACTAAAAAAATTTAGACTTAATTTAAATTAGCATTGTTAAGTAAATATTACTTTCACTAAGTCAAAATTTCCTTTCCTGAATTTTACACATGAAGTGCTGGCTAGTTAAATGAAATAATTTCAAGTCATGCAGAAGAATTATTAATTCTATGAAAAGAAAATCATGTAAAATGCTTTTTCATATTTCTTTACAGAAATACAAGAAACAGATTTCTTTACATATTGTACTTACACAGATCCTCAATTTTTGTTCTTATACCTAAGGATTTGCCAAAGAGAAACTGTTGCAGAAAACCTGTTACTCTTTCCAAGTTATATACATACAGAATATATATATGTTACACATATATATGTTATATAGACACATATGGAATACATATATGTTATACTTTCCACTCTTCGAAGAGCAGATGCATTTAGTACTGTATCTCTGAGTGTCACTTGAGGGACGACAATGAGGAAAAAATGTCTTTTAGACATACGAAGGATAAACAACCCAGGCATAAGGATTAATCAGTTTCTAAGAGACAAGTGTTTGAAATCTGAGAGGCTTAAAAGCAGAGATGAGGCAGGCTTCATTAAAATGAGATCAGGACAAATTTAACCTGCAAGTGAAAGGGGGAAAGAAGTAGCACAAGTAGCTAAAGAAGAACACAAGCAAATCATAGCTGTCATGTGAACTTAAAAGGCTCATTGGCTTACTGGAGATGAGAACAAGGAGAAGAATAACCACCACCTGTTCATGCCCACATGTGCAGTTTAAGGAGCACATAAAGGTTCTTCAGATGCAGCTAAGATGAAATCTGCAGTGACAGTACTACATTGCACGTATACGCATAATGTGAACACATATATTTGAAAGAACTCCACAAAAATGTTCCTTTTCCATAAGGAGGACCAGACAAAAAAAGTATGCCAAAAGCAGACTGAAAGAAATACTATTGTAGCCTTCCTACATCAACAGAAAATACATTTAAAGTACAGGGAATAGAAAAAAAATCTGTGAGCAGTCACAGAAAATAGTAAGACACTGGACAGGAAAACTGGGACCTGGCGTCAGAAGAGATACCAAATTAGATACAGAAGCAGGAGTTTGATAAACAGGAGTTGGATAAGGAGGAAAACAAAATCAAAACAGTCAGGACAACAAGCTCAGTGCATGAGATGTTCTCCCCTTCAAACTCCTCTTTTAATCTTTATAACTAGAACTACATCATAAAGTACCCCGCATCATGAATGATACAATTTGAAGTCACACATTCAGACTTACTCTGTGTAATTTCTGAGCACTTGGCTTTGAAATGCATTGTATTGTATTGTGTACTAGTCTGAGTTCTTTAGTGTATTTTGAAATAGATGCAGAAAATATGTAAAATTTAGAAAAAAACTAGCTTGAGTTTTATGTTTTGAAATTACATTTTAAATTTATCATCTTTAACAACTCATTATATATATTCTAGATATTTCCAGTGAAAACATCGAGAAAATAAACACAGTTCTCCAACTCATTATTTTTAATGCAGTTGGTATGTTCTGTTTTGATTTTAACAAGAATCTTTCTTGCTCTCTGACTATAAGGATACATAGTTACAAACACTATACAGGTGGTTCAAGGGAATTTTGTCACTTAAATACAGTTTTTTTAACTAAACCTAAGTAAGTGTCAAACTACACTGAAAACACAAAAAATATTCATTTAATAAGTATCTTAACAGTATGAAGTATAGGAAAACCAAGCAAGAAAAAATGAAAAAAAAACATTGGGATCTTTTCCCCATCTTATTATAGCATTTGATGAATTAATGGCCACTTCATTCAAGAGTTTTTTCTACTCCCTTTTCTAATGACTATTGTCTCTCTGTGTCTAGCCAAGCTGAAATGAGAGTAAATTTGACCCTTGATGCAAATTCAGAAAATTATACACCATATTTAGAGAAATTCACAAAGATCACAGTAAGTATACAGAAACATTCAGTATGCTTATACATCATGTTCCAAACTTCAAGCAACAAGAGCTTAAAATAATACCCTTACCCATATTTAGGTACCTCAGATAATTGGTAGAATTGGTACAATTTCAGAAGTATGAATAACTGAACTTTTATTAACAGAAATTCATCACTGTGGTGGTCCTGAAACCTGTGATCATCTTGAATCTTTGAAAATTAAACACTGAGTAGGAACGACATGAGAAATTCCCCATAAACACTTTTGGTCTTTTGAAGTAACTAGATCCTACAGACACTAGGAATGCTTATATTAGATGCATTCTATGTAACACAAGAGCTTAGTAAAAAGTCTGCTATGTGAACAGACTAATTCTCATCAAATAACTATCTGACATTAAATGCATTATTTTGTATGACTTTGTATGTATGATTCTTACCATGGTGTTTTCTCCTCCTTAAACACATAATCATACTGCAAAAGCAAAACATAAACTCCATTATACATCTCAGATGTTACACACTTTTTCCATTTTCTGACAAAAAGCCTAATAGACCACTGACATTTATATCAGAAGAGGATTTAATTAGGGTACATACAGATCAAAGCTTTTTAACATTTTAAACTAATTATAAAGCTTTTGAATTCCTAAAAGCTATGTATCTCCAAAAGGTTGGTAATAAACCCCAGGTTTTGTACATAAGTGTTACATTGCTCAATTTTGTAATTTATTTTAATCTCTTTAATTTTTAAATCTCTGCTAATTCTATTTTTACTCAGCCTCTGTACTTTTTTAAAATCTTAAAACTCCAACAGAGATTCTGCCTGAACTTCTCATATTTTTTCTTCTATGCCTACACCAGTAAATCAAACACAGCCTGAGAAGTTCTCTGGGCCCAGCAACTTGAACACCTACACCATTAAACTGGTACTAAATCTCACTGGTACAACCTGTGGAAAAGGAAATTACCACATTTCCAAATAATTTCCAAACACAATTCAGGAACTGGAAAGGGTCAGAGACCATTCCTCAGAAGCAGTGCACATAACGCCTATCCTGTTTTGAAAGGTAAGAATTTAAGAGTATGCACATGAGGTTTTCCATGTCAACTGGACACATTGCTGATAATACTTAACTTACTAGCAGAGTAAATAAATTCAGATATAGACAAGTGAAATCCAAATTCTATATATTTGTAGTATATTCATTTCAGTATATATGCCTAATTTAGATTAAGAGCATTAATGAAATACTCATACTATAGCAACTTCACCTTTTCTCCTCTTATTTCATAGTTATAACGATGTCACCATCTAGAGGCCTCAGACTATTTTGAGTCCCTGTATATTAAGTAACAACACCTTAAAAGAGATGTGGAAAATATGCACAAGATTTACAGAAATAATTTAAGCTAACATTAAAATGAAGAAACATCTGGACATGTTAATGCTTATCCACCTAATTCATCATGTATATTGATGACAAAATCATCCTATTAAAAACATTTCACTGTTTCACATTATTTTAAATAAAGGTGAAGATGCAATGTAAAATTTCCTATCAAATTAATGTCTAGACTGTAAATCAAGATATGACTTTAGTTTATGCACCTTGGATTCTTCTAGCATCTATGCTGCAATTGCAGAAATCTCCCTGCAGAGTATTTAGCAGTGTTTGCGGAATACTAATCTAAGATAGTTTTTCTGATGTGCTGCTATGACAACATTATTGTCGGTACTGGAGATAAATTATTTAAATATAACTTGTCTGTGCAAGCAGTGATCAGATCTTCTTACTGCAGTGTAGGTACATGCAAAATTTATTAACATTCGGAAAACACTTCTCCAGTAAAAGTGGATTATTAAAATGATGCTAATTATGTTCTCAAATAAGTTAATGGGAAGATATTACTATACTTTAAATTGGCATATATTGCCTTCTTTCTTAATCTACCTACCCATTTTTTTTATCTTTCTTTTATTCTTGTTTCTATTTACACAAAATCTATATAAGCTAGGGAAACATCATGTGCTGCTAAAGAAAGAACTACAGCATTTTCAAATTCATGTCTGTCAATATGAGAGTAAAGGAAACAAGGAATTGTTAAGTACGGATCAGGAAGAAAATATAGCTTACTATAAATGACAGAAAATGGCACACAGCTCAATTTGACTATCTACTCAAGATTTGTATCAAAAACTATTTTGCAGACAGTTGATATTATTGAAGCAACTTCACTTTCTGTGCATCTGAATTGTCATATATGAATTTACTTATCTTTATGATATATTGATATTACATTATGATATTACGGTATATTGACTTTAATAAGACACTTTGATTTGCTAAAACTGTTAAGTAAATTAAAAACATGAGTTGTACATGCACCTCCTGGGCACTATTCTGGATAGTACATATGACATGAAATTAAATCTTTATAAAAATCAACATAGTAATCCTGTTTAGAAATGTACTTGTTCCTATAAGATCAAAAGCACTTGACCGTTTTTAATCACAAACGTACCTGTTGAAAGTGATTCTCCATCTTCAATTCTAACTCCTGAATGTGACAAATAATTTTGTTAATATAAGGTAATGGAGTATTTACAAAAGCAGAGCCATGATGCCTTGGGGTGATCCATTCACTCTTGTCTGGAAAAGGAAAGAGAATCCAGAAGGCTGATAAACTTCACATGTGGGATGAAACCAGATTTTCTCATACCTGATTTTACTTCTTAAATTTGGAACTTGGTAAGCTTCTGCCTTGAAATTGACTAAGAGAATGTAACAGCTATATCTCTTACTAAGCACAGTTTTGCACAAAACGTTACTCCTTTTTAAATACAATCTCTCAAATACAAGGAGATTCCAAAATGCTCGAAAAATATGAAGGAATAATTTCAAAGACATGACATATCATAAAGAGAGCTACAGTCTAACTGTATATATATATATATAACTAATTATACAGAATTAATCCCAAATAAATATATTTTGGTGATTTTACACTAGTCCTAAGCAAGAATTTTGCCCAAACAGAAAAAAATAATATCAGAAACTAAAAAGGGCAATGGTGGCTTCTATATAGAAACACACAGAGCAAAACAGAAAAGTCACAGGGCCTTAAAGGCTATCTTAGACTACTCTTATGTACCTAATACTTGGTTCCAGCAAATATTTGTTTCGACCTCATGAAGGGATGAAATTCCAGAACAGTAATTCCCACACCGGGAATTTCAAGCTACATGACATAAATGGACTGTTCTATGAGAACATGCAGATTTCAGAATTATGTTTTCTTTAAACTCTCTTAGCCATATAATCACATAAATAAATGATACTGTGGCACATTATTGAATGTTGACTATTTAATTAACACACAGAATGGGAATCTGACTGCACAGGTCACTAATGAAAGGTGACAGGAACAAGACACTGAAACCTAGCAATAGAGCTATTAAAAAGTCTAAGGCGCTGTCCTACAAACATGAAACAATAACCCAATTATGTTCAGGGGGATACAACTGCTTTAATGTTCCTTGGAGATGAACCAAAAATAACAATCACAGTAATAGAGATTAAACTGTAAAATAGAACCAGACAACCTTCACATACAGTATGCAGATTTGTTTTCTGTTTTGTTTTGGGCTTTTTTTAAAAGAATAATCTCAGTGACATCAGAAGAAAATGAAAATGATGATGTTTCAGACATTTTTGCTGGTAGCACTTTTCAGCCTAATGATTAGAAAAATAATAATACATATATACATGCACACACGCACATTTTAAAAACTCTTATTTTCATCAGAAAAAAAAAGTATTCCATCAGCGATACATCTACAGTATTTTTAAAGGTTAGCAACTCCATTGTCACTTTTCCTACTAAGGGAAAAGGAGCAGCTAAACAGTGCTCTCACAGTGGATCCTATTTAAGTAAGGAAATTACAGTTAGAAAGCTAATGAAAACCAAGACAACCAATTTTCAACCTATGTGACCTGGCTTTTTAATTTTTTTCAATTAAATTTTCAATTTAAATTTTAAAATACAGGTTATTTTGGAATCTATCATAACAGTAGTAACCAGCACTACCTGGAAAATTGTGAAAAGCAAAATGCATAACCTATGAGATAAATTTAATTAACAAACTGCCAACACAAGGGAAGCCCATAAATCTGTAGTCTGAAACACTGTCATCTCAATGGACAGATGACATGGAAGAGAAGAAAATAACTACTTATTTGCATATAGACTTCTAACTCAGGTTTACTACAATAAACAAATCTAACATTATTTATTTGTAATTTGCATAATTCAGAAAACCAATACTGGCTGAAAACTTAGATAGTTAAGCCCCAGGGTATCTAGCTGAGGTTATTTACCAAAATATTTTTTCACTCTTATAATTCATCTTTTGACAAATAAATGTATTGCCATACAGAGATCCAGGTGGAGACTTCCTGGACTGTGTAATTTGCGTGTTAGAGAAGTCCACAGTAAATTGTGGTTTCCAGCTATTATCAACTTACAAAAACCGTCCAGTAAAAAAGCAAAAAAATCCCAACACCTCTATTAAGTGTTCATCAAGAAAAAATACTAGAAAAAAATACTGCATAAACTATAGATTTTAGCATTCCACATATTTTCTAAGTAGTACTATTACAAAATAGAGAAATGTTTATTCCAAGCTGTCTGAAACAGAAAATAGTTGCCTAAGATTCCAACTAGACAGCCAGTCAGAGAAGAGAGAGTGAAACTGAAATACACTATTCACACTCCCCATGCCTCAATTTATTGATCCACAAAACTCAAACTCAAGCCTGTTCCAAAGAAATATTAGATGAATCTAAGTGTACCAAGCTTGCCAAAAGAAATGCTGAATCCACAGCTGATCTCCATGAACTTCTATGCACTGCAATGCAGTCACCACCACTAGTGCTCTGTTACCATAACAAACTAATTAACTTGGAAACTCTGAACAATACCAACAAAGCCTTTCAAGCTAAAGCTATAGAAGGTATTTTTTTGAATTAAATAAAGTTCATAATACATATAATAAAGCTTCAAATCACCACATTTTCAGCTATGTAACTCTCCTCAGGAAATGTATGGAAAATGTATTATATAAGCCATTCTTGCATGTCATTTGAACATTAGCATGTATTTTTTTCAAGTTTGGTGGCTTTTTGAATTTTATGAAACAATTATTTCCAATGGAGGGATCTAGTGTTGTTCAAAGAAATAAGCTGATTTGGCAAGTAGGAATTTTTAGCATTATCTGTGCCAGGATGTCAGCTTCTTGGACTCCGCAAAACGAAATTCTACTCGTAACAGGCTCATCCTGACAGTCAGACCAGATGGACGACATTAGTTCCAACAAGGAGTACAAAAGAAAACAAAACTCATAGGAATTCAAAGAAAATAAGTATCGACAGACAGAATAGCTCTAGAGAAAGGAGGAAAGATGAGAAAAATACTGCATAAAAAAAGGATGAAATCCAGAAGAAAAGCTTAAGAAATGGTTTCAATTTGTTGTTGCTTATATAGTCAGTAATATATCTGGAACAAGTTATGAACAGACTATTATGTGATATGCAAGCATGAGTTAACAGAAAGTTGAGAACATCACTTGCCTGATAAGGAATCATATACACAACACAAAGATGCATTTAACTGTACCTAACAATGTATGGGGGAAAAATATATTGGACAAATTGTCAGTTGGTGACAAAAGCAGTATTTCATGGAAAGAAAATTAGCACATAGCTCATCTAGTATCTGTTGAAAATCTTAGCCTCAATGTATATAAATATTAGACTCCTTATCTTCACAGTTATGTAGTTATCAAAATCCAAATTAAAAAATTTCTTTTATACTGTCCTATTCATATAAAATAAATCAAACCCAGTGAGTTACACTCACAATTCTGTAATATATAACTATGACCTTCAGGAAATGTTATTCTGCACAAATTGTTTTACAGAATTCAAACTAATTTTCTCATTCTAACAAAGATAACCACTACATTAGTCATACAGTATACCTTTTCAAAGGCATTGTATGCTTCTCCATAAAGAAGAGAAAAATGGCATTTTGTTCATCAGGTATGTGTGTATATATTTATAAAAACATATGTACATTGCATATATTATTAAATAGGACTATAGCTAAAGTCAACACACACAGTATTTTCATTACTTTATTGGTACTTTTCTATAACACAAATAGTTTCTGATTGGCTAAACATAATTTTCTAACACCAATTTATCAAATAGAAGGATAAGAAATTAACAAAGTTTTTGTTAAAAGTAAAATCCTCAATAAATATTTTGCAATTAAAAAACCCCAGAATCTAGATGTTAGAATTTCTATCTACCTAACATGAACTATTACTACTATTTCTCATCATAAATGCCATTCTCCAGGCAGATTCCTGGGATATTCATAAATATGCTTAACAAAAAGCTTATTCTCCAAGAACCTTTTTCTGATCAGCTCCCATACTTACCTCTTCACCAAAGCTCTAATTCACTATCAAGTAAACTAAGTGCAAACTGAGATTATCTATCTCATAAACACAATAGAGATGGCCAAATCAAAGAATTTTGCTTAAAATCTTCTCATTGATTCCTGCTTCCCTGCGACTATGTCATTTGTGTTGGAAATTTTCCTCCTTCCCCAAAATGCGGTCAGCATAAATAAAAATTATAAACTAATTAATAGTTAAAAGGATCGAACATTCCAAAAACAATCTACATCTTATTCTATAATTTGCTGCTCTCCAAGTGTTAACTTGCTGCAAATACAGCATTTTACCTTTTGTTTTTAAGGTCTTAATGTTTCTTGCACAATCTCTGCCTGTCCCCAAATGACGCAGTGAATCTTTTAACCACTGAAATGCAGCCCAGGTTTACTTCAGAATGTGCAGAAAGGGATTAATGTTCCCCAAACTACAATTAGTGCACATGTTTCAAAATAGTCCAGTGTCATTTAAACAGACATTTGCAGCATTAAAATCTGTTATAGTGGTACCCAGGGCTGACTCTTGAAAACAATGCCTCACGTAAAATTTCATAAGCTGACTAACACAAACCACCAACTCAAAATAAAAATAGAATTATTGAATTATTCTTGTTATTTTTATTAAAAGCAACCAAAGATAGGCAAAATTCCTTACATTCTTTGTTGCATTTTATTCCTTTCACAGGAACAAGATCCCAAGAACAAGTCCATTACACCAGCCACTTTAAGCTTTAAGAAGGTTATTAAGATCAAATGATGTACTCTCAAAAACTTATAATGGAATGCAAAACCAAAAAATATTACAGCTGAGATCTTACTACTATCATATAAGTCCCTGAAATAGTCCTGTATCAAAATCAATTTGATTTTTTTTCCAGTATTCCACTATTCTTATCATTCATTCCAGCTAGATAGTCTGAAACTCAAATTTAACTCCTACTCTTTTCCTGCAGACCTTACTGCAAACAGGAACTCTTAAACAAACGAACAACAAAAAAAAAAATCACCAAAACCCAAACCCACACACAATTAAATAGGATGAAAAACAAGGACTCTGGAAATCTGTAATAGATAAGGAAATTAAATCCCAATATTCTGTGCCATTGTCATGAATGATCCACTTTGTCTTTCTATATATATTCTTGTGTTCCACCTTTCTCACATGAATCAGAAAAGAGGAATTACACTTCTACCAAGTAGTACTGAGAAAACAGGTAAGATTAAGAGCAGCTCACATTCTGTGACATGGGTTCACATAAAATATAACTATCTCTGACTAAAGATGCTACCTAATCCACTATTTCAGTGTGTCTCCTCATACATTCCAAGGCCAGAAACAAGACAATAGGAGAATTACTATTCTCTTTCTTATTCCTGCAAGGTCAAAGAGATCCAACAGTAGTAGGAACAATCTCCCTGCTCAAGCAAAAAAAGTTAATTCAGTTCAATTGTTAGAAATGAGCATCCAAATTCTATTACCACAAGAATCATCCAAATATGTTTTAAAGACGCTTACTACCAATGTTCGTGCTACTAAGCATGTTAGTTATTTGATCTGTCCCCTTACACATAATTAAAATATCATGTCCTATATAGCACAATATTTTTGGAAAGATTATTAAATCTTAAAACTAGTATCTTCTGTTGTATGTCTAAATGAAATACAGTGAATATTGGTTACCATGGTAACCACAGAACTGAAGAAATTTAGTTTTGACATAATTGCTGCATATGTTCATACAAATCACATCTCTTATTCTGAGCATTAGAAATGAAGATACTTTTGAACTCCATTTTTTAAAAATAGAGTAATGAAGAAACAAAAAATTAGCTCAAGTATTTATATACATAACACAACATATTCTTGTTTAATTCACTTATTCACTTTGATAATTAGCATATATTTCCCTGCATTTTATTAAACCATTTAGTTAAGTACTGTTTAAGTTATCTTTTCACTTATTGATAATTAAGCCAGTTCTGTTCATAGAATCATAGAATCAGCTAGGTTGGAAAAGACCTTCAAGATCATCAAGTCCAACCATTACCAAGGACTGCCAAATCCACCACTAAACCATGTCACTGAGGGCCTCATCTACACAGTTTCTGAACACTTCCAGAGAAGGTGATTTCACCACTTCCCTAGGCAGCCTGTTCCAATGCCTGATTACTCTCCCCGTAAAGAAATTTTTCCTAATATCCAACCTAAACCTCACCCGGCACAGCTTGAGGCTATTATTTCTTCTCCCAGCACTTACTACCTGGGAGAAGAGACTGACCCCCACTTCACTACAATTCTTTCTTTAGCAATGACAGAAGTGTAATAGAACGCAAAAACAGATTCCATTTACAAAATAACGTCTCCATGGATTGAACGATCCAAGGCAGTTTCAACTAAATCTAAACCATTTCTGACGGATGCTTGTCATATCTGTTTTAAAATCTTTTAGTGACAATTTCTACCAGATGTCTAGGCAAACTTAAACCAAACAACTATCCCTGCCATTACTTAGCCATCCTAATGTACAGTATAATCTCCTTGTCGTATCTGTATGGACACAGAAAATAATAGATTGCCTTAATCTTGTAAACAACTTCTTAAACATTTGAGAACTTCCATCTCTTTCCTTCTCTACACTAAACAGATCAAATTCTTCCGTTTGTTTTTACACACAAACCCCTGCCCCAGAGATTATGCTTTCCAACTGCTGTTCCACTCTCCTCCTCCAATTTCTCCCCAGTTGGTCCATGCCTTTCCAGATCCAGATCCTGAAGATGGCACAGACTTCCAGCTGATGCCACACCAGTACTGAGAACAACAGAAGTCTTACACAATGCTTTTGGTTTCATATCCTGATACAACCCTTGTTTCTATCACAACAGCATTATAGTGGGTTTCATGTTTAGCTCTTCAACCTACAGGTCTTTTGCTAAATTACCTATAATTGTTATCCTCTGTACACATTATTTCTGCTTATGGATAGTACTTTGTACTTGCTCTTATTGATTTACATCCTACTGTCTGACTTCTCAAGATCATTCAAATTGCAAATGATCCTATCCTCCTGAGTGCTGGCAAGCTCTTCCAAGCAAGGCTTTGTGTCCAAACTGAGAAAGATTTGTGTAGTAAGTAAGTCCTTGCTGTCACTATTACTCACAGAGTACCTCCATTGTTCTACAGTGCTGTGCATAAGATACGGTCTGTGCCTAACATGCCAATACTATGCTTTCAAAGAAAGAAACAAACATTATAAATGCTGATCAATCTCTATTTGATTTCCATCTTAAGCTGTATGTATTTTATTACTTTATGTTTCAGAGGGACTTGAAGTTAAATAGTAATTTTAGCCATTATGTATATTGTATAAATAGTTTAGTTGCAAAGATTACAGAAACAAAATGAGTTGAAAATTTGGCAGGATCATGCAATCTATTTAAAATGAAAAAGGGAACACAACAGACTACTAAATAACATGAAATTGCATCTGTGTGTTTTCTAGTTTGAAGATAAGATCTTGCCAAATCCCAAACCGAGAGCTGAGTAACTATAAACACATTCTTGTTCAGTTGGACTCAGATGTATTTTGCAGCACTGCTCAGATCTTAGCAGCTAATTAATTCTTGATGCTATATAGAAATCTTCTTTAAAAAGAAAATCATTAGAAAAATATTTTTAAATTATACAGTCTCAGAGAGCTTTTTTTATGAGGATTCAACATTAAAGGGAAGACTAACTTATACAATTCAATACAGCTATACTGAGAGTACATTCTCATACCTGTCCTGCAATAGCCTTAGAAGATGACGGCTCTGAGACAAAGGAAAATGGGGAGAAAAAAAAAAAGAACAACTGTCAAAGACTAAAAAGTTTATCATAATTAAGAAATCAACAGTATTTCCAAGCTGACTGGAACTGCTGCTTGCTTAAGCTAATTTTTTCTCACCATCTACCTTCCAAAGTGAGACTTCCTAACCCATGCAACATTTTATCTAGAAAATGTGACCATTAGATTTACTCAGTGTTTGTTTCATTAGAATTTCTACTGGACCTTAAATATGATAGCAAATATTTTGGCCATCTATTGCAGTATTAATTTTTTGATGTTGGTGTGGATAATAATCTTTCAAATGATAATTTAATCTAAAACTGCATCAAGTACTGAAAGAGGAATAGGAAATTTCTCTGTCTCATGTTCAAATTGAAAATCACCCTTCAAAAGCAGACTCTGTCCTTCACTCTGTCTTCATGCCAGCATTTTCATACTCACCTGTCTTAGCATGAAAGGTATCAAACCTGGAACAATCATCTGGAGTGCTGTTACTCTTACATCTACTGTCCCCTTTCTACTTAACTCCATCTGAAAGCTCTTTACAAAAAGGCTTACAAAAGGCAATTCATAACACAGACCATCATAACTACATCTTAATACAAGATATTACAGTCAGATAAACTCTAATCTCACACAGTCTGTAAACTATGAATAGATGAGAGCATTTACAGAAATGTAAAGCCCCTAAGTAGAGAAGAAGGCTCAAGACACACGTATCAATTTTCGTAGATAATAGTGGCATTATTTCACTAGATATAGCCACACTTCAACTCCATTGGGAAGGAACAATCATAAAAAATTGCAAATCAAACATCTCCAAAACTATGAAAAATCTCTGATTTCCCAAAAACATATTCATAAAGGATCTCATTGTGTTAGCAAATGTATTCAATTTTCCAGTCACGGCAATTTGAAATAACATAACCAGTCCCAAAATGAGAACATACTGGATTTTCATTTGGATCAGCCTGGAGACGAGAAGGCTGCATAGAGACCTCATAGCAGCCTTCCAGTATCTGAAGGGGGCCTATAGGGATGCTGGGGAGGAACTCTTCATTAGGGACTGTAGTGACAGGACAAGGGGTAATGGGTTCAAACTTAAACAGGAGAAGTTTAGATTGGATATAAGGAAGAAGTTCTTTACTGTTAGGGTGGTGAGGCACTGGAATGGGTTGCCCAGGCAAGTTGTGAATGCTCCATCTCTGGCAGTAGTCAAGGTCAGGTTGGACAAAGCCTTGGGTGACATGGTTTAGTGTGAGGTGTCCCTGCCCATGGAAGGGGGGTTGTAACGTTACGACCTTAAAGTCCTTTCCAACCCTAAATATTCTATAATTCTATGATCACAGCCAACCCCTCAGCTTCCAATTCATGTCTCAATATGATCAGTTCAGAAAAACAAGAAGGGATTGCTGCTTGGGGTGTATTCTGCTGCAGCACAACAGTCAAGCTTATAGTGCTTTATATTTTTTTTGCCCTATTTCCTCTGATATGGTTAGAGACCATCTTAAAAACCAGAACGTGCACAAGTCCATGGGACCTGATGAAATCCATCCACAGATCCTGAAGGAGCTGGCGAATGAAGTTGCTAAGCCACTGGACATTATATTTGAGAAACCATGGCAGTCAGGTAAAGTTCCCGGTGACTGGAAAAAGGGAAATATAACCCCCATTTTCAAGAAGGGGAAAATGGATGACCCAGGGAATTACAGACCAGTCAGTCTCACCTCTGTGCCTGGCAAAATCTTGGAGCAGATTCTCCTGGAAGGCATGCTAAGGCACATGAAAATCAACAAGGTGCTTGGTGACAGCCAGCATGGCTTCACTAAGGGGAAATCCTGCCTGACCAATTTGGTGGCCTTCTATGATGGGGCTACAGAACTGATGGACAGAGGTAGAGCAGCTGATGTCATCTACCTGGACTTGTGCAAAGCATTCGACACTGTCCCACAAGACATCCTTGTCTCAAAATTGGAGAGACATCAATTTGATGGATGGACCACTCAGTGGATAAAGAGCTGGCTGGATGGCCACACACAAAGGGTTGTGGTCAATGGCTCAGTGTCCAGCTGGAGACCAGTAATGAGTGGTGTCCTTCAGGGATCGGTGTTGGGACCGGTCTTGTTCAACATCTTTGTCGCTGACATGGACAGTGAGATTGAGTGCACCCTCAGAAAGGTTGCCGATGACACCAAGCTGTGTGGTTCGGTTGATACACTGGAGGGAAAGAATGCCATCCAGAGGGACCTTGACACGCTTGTGAGGTGGTCTGATGCCAACTTCATGAAGTTTATATATATATACAGCATTTGTATATATACACAGCATTTGGTGTGTATATCACGTCCCACCCAGTGCTTACCAGTGTTTCCAAATGAATGTATCCTGATCCTTCTCTCAAAGAAGCAGCAGGTCAGTCTAGATTTTTACATAGATAGATGATGTGGTCCACACTGGAACAGCTTCAGTGCCTGTTAACAAAGGGTTGCAAAGTTGTGCATTTTTGGCAAGCGTTTAGAAGTCTGAAAGGGAATGTAACAGTGGCTCAAGGCCAGGTTGGAAGGGGCTTTGAGCAACTTGGTCTAGTGGAAAGTGTCCCTGCCCGTGGCATGAGGGGTGGACTATTTAAGGTCCCTTCCAACCCTAACCGTGCTATTCTGCCACAACACGGTGAATGAGGAGCAGCCGGACGTGCCAAACACCGCCTCGTGTAAGCTAACACCGCCCCGACACGGCACTCGCGAGCGGCGCTGAGGACGCGAGGCAGCCTCAGTGGGGCCGGACCCCTGTACTCCCCGCGGCTCCGCGCTCCGCCCCGCCCCGGGCCCAACCACCACCACCGCCGAGGCCCGTGGGCACTTCTCCAGCACTAGGACCGCTCGGAGCCCCACTGAGCGGGAGGCGGCAACGGCGTGGCCCCCTCCCGCCGCTAACCCGGGCACCAAGCGGGCCAGGCCGAGGAGCTGTCACCCTCCCCTGCGCGCCAGCCGCCGACAGCACAGCTGGCTGGCAGCCCCAGCCCCGCCTCCCGGTACTCACGGCTCCGGCGGGGCGCCCGCCGCTGCCGCCGGGCGGGGGAATCGGGCGGGCGGCCAGGGCAGGCTGCCAGCCGCCGCGTCCTGCCCGGCATCCGCCAGCCCGTTTCCCTGGCAACGGCGGCAGCGCGCGGGTCTAACGGGCGGCGGGGGCCGGTGACGCCCGGTGGGGCCTGCCGAGGCCGTTCCACGTTCTCCCAGGGTGGAAGCGGGGAGACCCCCGAGGGGTCCGACGGGGTGCCAGGGGCCCCTCACCCCGGCCTCGCACCTCTGCGGCTTCTTGATGGAGCTAAACAAGCTGGGAGCGAGGCTGTCCACACGCTGTCCCGCGCAGGGAATTCTGTATTCTCTCCACTTAAGACTTCACTGCTGAGGTTGATGGCGCAATGAAAATGTGTAATGGTCAGCAGTGCGCCACGGTCCGAAATCTGGTAACTGCTACCTTGACGAATAAAGCCAGACCTTGCCCGTTTAATTCCCTATAGAAATTATTAGCTGCTAACCAACCTGGCTGCCCGTCCTGATCATTAAAATCCATTCCTAGAAATTCTTGCATGATTGTATAATGATGTGAAAAGCCATTTGACTCCGATTTAAGAAGAGGACTTACAGACGCATACTCTCTAGGATATGAGTCCTCTAGGACTCATAGAGGGCTCAGTGTGGGACTTAATTAAACTTAGGTTTCCCTCATGAGAAGTATACGCTCAGCCTTCTATACTTATTTTAAAGGTGGGAGGTTAAAATTAAGTTAGAGAAATAGGCAAAGGGTGTCTTGCTCATATTTGTTCCTGGGTTGCCCTCTTTCCTTTTCTTGACACCCCAGAGAAAGGACGCAACCCAAAAATCAATTACCTCTGTGTTATGTGTCCTCATCACATCTTTGTGTAGTCTTTATGTTTACTCTCGTATGTTCAACTTCAGTCTATTTGGTTTTAATGAGAAAAGAAACAGGGGTGATGCAGAGTTTACCTTGCCTCACCTTACTTCCTCAAAATAATCTTAGTGAAGACAAGATGTAAGTAGTTTTTTATTTTAGTAAATCTGGACCAGGAAAAAGCAATGTGCCTTTGCCTCTAAAGAGAACAATGGTTTACTGGGCTGCCTTAGGAGGAGTGTTGCCAGCAGGTTGATGGAGATGATCCTTCTCCTCTACTCAGCACTGGTGAGGCCATACCTGTCCAGTTCTGGGCTCCCCAGTACAAGACAGACATGGGCATACTGGAGACCATGAACACAATGAAGGAACAGGAGTATCTCTCATTTGAGGAAAGGCTGAGACAACTGGGACTGTTCAGCTTGGAGAAGGGTCAGGGAGGATCCTAATAATGTGTATAAGTACTTGAAGAGAGGGTGAAAAGTGGATGGAGCCAAGCTCTTCTCAGTGGTACCCACCAACAGGACCAGAGGCAACAGGCAGAAAAACCCAAAACACAGGAGGTTCCTTCTGACCATCAGTAAACACTTCTTTACTGTGAGGTTGACTGAGCACTGGCACAAATTGCTTAGGGAGGTTGTGAATCTCCATCCTTGGACATACTCAAAAACTGTTTGGAAACAGTCCTGGGCACCTGGCTCTGTGTTGAGCAGATTGGACCAGCTAACCTCCAGACACCCTTTCCAACCTCAACCATTCTGTGATGCTGTGATTCATGCAATGAGGGGAATGAGTAGCATTGGCACTCTGTGGAGTTCAAAGCCGCCCTTATGTCTCTAATGATATTGCACTGAGATAAATATTTCAAAATACCCTTTTACAGATAATGAAAAAATACCCTTTGGTACACAGGAAAGCTGTGGGGCAGCAGTTATCAGGAGAAGAAATACCATGTTCTCAGGTATTTTATAGGCTTTGAAATGACAATTTTAATCTTGAGATAATTATCTTTACCAAGACTGAAGAAAGGAGATAAGGCAAGGTGATAGATACTGCGCTTTTACTTTTCCAGGGCTTCAGATCCTCAAGCTGTTGCACATATTTCTGGTATTTTGATTTATCACTACTTATTTGGCAATACACATTTCTGCCTTCTTCTAGGCTTCTTCGAGGGAAAAGGAAAATGCAGCAATAAAAGGAGCTGTTTTGAATCACAAATGTATGACAAGATTCACTGTTACTGTGTTTGATCTTGTGGAGTAGTTATTGATCTTGGTAACTATTGTAAAACAAAGGACATGTCCAATCTTCTGTTTGCTATCATACGAGTACTGTGGTCATCCTCAGTTATAGATTTCTTAAACAAATTAAGAAAAAAATAATCTAAATAGCTGCCAGCTATCTGATACATTGAAACATTTAGATGGTGTTAGTTAGATTTACCCAAAAGTTGAGTGCCTTTGTAGTTAGCTGTATAATTTATTCATAAGTGGGAATAAAGCTTCAAGAGTGTATTAATATATTCATTAATCTCATAGAAAGCATTGCCTGGTACATTTTTTTTCTTAGAATAGCAAAAAAATTATTCTTACAGTTAAATGCTTTAAAAGTTAAGACTAAGAATTGCTCAAAAGAAGCAGGACTAAGTACATGATGTTTTACTCGTGTAGTTATATTAAGAAACATTTTAAAGTTTTATGATTATGGAATTCAGGCATAAATAAAATGGGAAAAAAAAACATGGAGATCAGCTGTTCATATAATACCAAGAAAGTATTTGCAGTGAACATCTCTTAAAAGCCCTCTTACAAGCTTTCACCCTCATTAAAGACTAGTTAGGACCTGAACAGAATAAGAAAAATCCTGAAGACGTACTGTATGACACTGTTTTGTGATATTTTTCACCGATTTATTTTATAATCCAGAGGAATCCAGTGAAGGAGTGGAATCGCTGCCCCTGGAAGTGTTTAAAAAATGTGTAGATGAAGCCCTTAGTGACATGGTTTAGTGGTGGTTTTGGTAGTCCCGGGGAAATGGTTGGGCTTGATCTCAAAGGTCTTTTCTAACCTAGTTGACTCTATGATTCTATGTAAAATAACAGAATAGAGAATATTGCACAAAACTGCTGATTTTTTCTTCTGTTACTGTCAGTAAAACATGCAAGATCAATGCATAAAGGAAGGGCAGATGGTCTGCACGGTGTGGGTTGCAGAACAGGAAAATCTTAGTCTGGAACCAATTGTGCCCTTTCTTCCAGCCTACATGCACTGCACCAGGGCATTCAGAAGCTGTAAGACACCAGGCTCTTAGGACTGAATGCTCAACTGCAATACTGAAATTCAGTACTTAATCTTCCCTTCTGCGATGTAAGAGAAATTTGTACATGAATGACAAAAAATTACAAAAGCAAACACAGCATTATGTACCTTCTCCACTAATGGAGAAGATGAAAGAACTAACATAGGAGAGATGTTAAACCACATCAAAAGAGGCACCAGGCCAGGATCTACATCAGTATTTCTACACCTAACTGTAATTAGGAATTTAACAAATACTTTCATTTAGAATAAGGTGCCTAAAATCATCTACAACTCAAAACCACAGCACACAAGTTTACACTGAACAACCTCCCTTCTCCTGTGCTACCTCTCTGAGCTGCATGTCAAGAAATGGAATGGAGTTGTCCAGTCTGATTTGTGTAAGCGGCTGAAACTGCCTTGAACCAAAATGTTGGTAATATAAACCAGCTTTTTTCCCTTCTTTTTAAATTCCTTTTCACACTTCATCACTAATAAATTGCTAGATGTCCAAGTTGTGTCTTTAATTACATGTGTGAAGTGTGACTATAGCTTAACATAAATTTTGGCAATGTGTAAGCAGCAAGATAGTCCTACTCACCCTGCAATGCTGATAGGAATATATAAAGCTGACACATGCAACCCCTCCCAATTGCTTGTTAAATTCATTACAAATGTTTCAGAAGATTCAAAGAGAAAATTTACTTGTTTAGCAGGACACCATTTTCATAAAATACATTTTCAGAACAGAAACCAGACCCTGAAGCTGCCTTTTGAAGAGATTTTGTATTTTCAGCCTTTATGCAAAATTTCAGTACTACAGTATTGTCATATGTGGGAAAACAGAATCTGTGTCCCAGATTCACTTCAAAATGTGTGCCTTCTATGAATCAAGTAATGCAAAATTAATTACATTTAGCATAATGAGTTGTCCAATCTGCAGCTTCAAGAAACTCCTAACGTGATGGAGGGAAGTTCTTCCTGTATCACACCTATAGCTCATTGTGTAATACATAGGCTGGGGAAAATGAAGTGTTCTGCAGCATATACTACTGCTGTCTCATCCCGTTTTTTCAATTACATTCAAGGGCTAGGTATAAATAACACCCCAAAACATCTGTATCATTGGAAGGAACACTTAGCAGCAGGACCATTCTGTAAAAGTTCATGGAAGGATCTAAAGAGAAATATGTTTTTAAGGATTTTTTATTGAATTTTGTAGTCTATTCTATTAATGTATTTGTCAATTATATAATGGTGTGCTGTGATTATCTACATTAATAGTAGTATTAATATATTATCTACATTAATAATAGTATTAATAGTACATTAATAATGGAAAAATACTAGTCAAATGCAATCAAAACAAGCCACTTCAGATGATAGCTATTCTAGCAATGCTGACGAGCTTCATATGAAAACTGGAGGGAGAAGATTTTCCAGCAAGTTACAAATCTCACATTTATTATTATGGCCTCAAAAATGCTCTATTTAGACCTGCTTAAGCAGGGGGGGGTGGATTAGATGACCTCTAGAGGTCCCTTCCAACCTCAACTATTCTCTGATGCTGTTTGAAATGCTGAAGTATTTGAATCAGATTTGGTGAGGCATAGTTTTAATACCTCATTGGACTGCAAATGAGAGTTAGGTTTCCCCAAAGTAGAAAGAAACCCTAGATATGGGTTTCCTGCATCTGGGTTGGCTGCTTCATAATGAGGTTACAAAATAGAAGCAGTTTGGTGGATGTCTACACGCTTTGCTTTTATTTCAAGTGCCTGAAAATAAAAATTGTGTAACAGAACAAACAAAATGTTTAATTTAGTGTAAAACTTTTTTTTTTTCCTAGTGTGAAAAGCCACAAATTTGGTTCTTTATGACTCATTCCCACCACATATATTTTTCACTTTGCCTGAGAAGGCAAATATTCAATTATTCA